GATGGAGAGGGCCAGGGGGCCGAGCCTCGGCCGAGCCGGACTTGCCTCGTCGCTCGAAAGAGAAATGGAGTCGCCAGCACAACACCTTTTCGGCGGCTCCGTTCACTCCGTTCCACTCGGCCGCCGCCAGCGCGCAGCGCGCCGGGCCTCTCGGAGGGTGGGGGACTCTGGCTCGAAAATGTAGATCGGGAAAACAGAAATGATGCCTTTCGCAGGGTGGGGGATTCTGGCTCGAAAATGTAGATCGAGAAAACAGAAATGATGCCTGGTATTGTGTTAGAATGTACAAGATTTATGGCGTTTTTTCCACACATCTTGCCTACTTACAGGCGTTAAGCTGTTTCCCCCTCGAGTTCCGGCTTGTTCCTAACAAACTATTTTCCAGTATCACACTCTCTTCTGCGCGAACCCGGCCGGCCAGCAGCCAGCAGCATCGCGCTAATTGGGGGAGAAATTTGGCAGCGCGGAGGGAAAGAAGGGGGTTTCATTCCACTCCCTCGGCGTTTGCCGCGTTGCTCGAACAAATGAGACGTCTCCTGCAATTGCTTTGGCACTGCTTGGCGGCCGCGCCGCTGGGCCAGTGAGTCGCGGCGATGGCACTTTCCTTTTTTCTGCGGTCACCCCCTTCCCCCTTCCCTCCCCTCCCCCTTCCCCTCCAATACGCCCTTCGACGGCGGCGCCATCGCGTCGAGAACGGCGTCGTCGTCCTCCACCGGGTGGTCTCGGCGGCGGCGGCGGCGGCGTGGTCCAAATAGACGCCACACTTTCCACCTTTGTGGTCAACGTGACATCAAAGGCCGACTGATCTGTCGGATCGGCGCTTTTTTGGTAATGTTTCCTGGGCGTCTCTTATATGAGAGTTGAACAGAAAAATCGTGCCAACGGGTTGGTTGGTTGGTTGGAGTGGTAAATCATTTTTCAGAGTTCTTGTTTCGCGCATTGGCAACCCTTTTCTCCTCACTTTTTTTACGGGATTTGTTTTCCGCGGCTTTTCACTCGACGGTCCTGGACGGTCCTGGACGCGCCTCCAGGAGTTAGTGTCCCTCCCGCGGGGCCTTCTGCAGGACCGTGATTTCCAGCAGTCATTGTTTCTTCCGAATAATGGGGGAAACACAAAACACCATCAAGGAGCAGAAGGAGTAGCGCCTCGGCCAGCCCAGTGGGCCCTGCCTGCAGTGCCTTACAGTGCCTTCGCCCTGCCGCTCTCTCTGTCTCTCTCGCACTGCCGGGGCCTTCCGCAGGGGTGCGAGAGAGACGGAGCGACGGAGGCGCTCGGAATGAACTGCAGCGCCCTGGGGGGCGCTCTGCCGCTCTGCCGCTCTGTCGGCGAGCTCCTCCTCTCCCTCATCCCGGCGGGGATGAGCGGCCGGGCGACTCCGAAGATCGGTTTGTCGCTCCGTCTCTCTCGCACCCTTACGGAGAGTCCCTCGAGTGCGACAGAGACAGAGCGACGAAAACGACTCTTCTGAATCGCGACGTCGTTGTCTTCTGAAATCCTGGAAACCTCGTTCGGCGGGAGGCGTGAGTCAGCAGCGCAGCGCTGCGGCAACGTACTGCAGCACCCTTGCGCCAACGAAAACAAAAACAACAACAACAAAATGGGACGCCGTCGCCGCCGCAGTGCAACAACGCCGACAACGCTCTCATCGTGATGGTCCCATTTCTGTGCTTCACACGTGTGGGGCTTTCTGAGCCAGTGGCACGCCGATTAGAGTCCATTTCCGGGGCGCGGGGCGGCGCGGGGCGGGGCGGGGTGGGGCGGGGTGGGGTGGGGCGGGGTGGGGTGGGCAGCTGCCTCAGCACCTCTCGTCTCGTCAATGGGCTACTTCGATACCCGATCGGCGTCATTTCTAAAGATCATCCTCAAAGCGCCGCCAGTGTCAGGAAAAAAAATACATCAAAAAGGAAAAAAACTCCTCCCCTTTTTTTTCAGAGTAGGACGTATCGTTGGACGCGGCGGCCGCGGGGCGTCACGTACCACACGGCGGCGGCCCCACAGTGCGACCTGCACGATGGCGGTCGCGGACGCGGGGGACCGTCCGGACAGGCTGCTTGTCCAGTGACAGGCGGTGCAGCGCCCCGCCCCGCCCCGCCCCGCCCCGCCCCGCCTCGTCGACTCGTTCGCGGCGTGGCCTGTGGTGACGGCCCCGCCCCGCCCCACCGCGCCCCGCCCCGCCCCGCCCCGCCCGCGGTCCGTGCACCGCCATTTTCCGAACGCACGGACTGTGACGGGCCGCGCCGCGCCACGCCGCGCCGCGGAGGGCGTGGGGCGGTCGAAGGTTGTTGTGCAAGAATGTGTCAAGTCGCCAGGGCTGTTGCGCAGGGCTCGATCTTGTCTTTCCCTCGTCGAGGCTATCGATCCATCGACCCGCGGCGCCAGCGGTTCGATCCCCGGGACCCAGGACCAGGACCGACCGCGTGCCGCGTGCCGACGCGAGCGCGAAGTCCAAGCGCAGCATCGGCCGGCCGGAGCCCCTGCGAGGTAGGCAGCGCAGACGCACGCACCGCCAGCGTGTTGCCTGCGCCGCCCCTTGCTCGCCGCTCGCCGCGCGGAGAGAGTGAGAGGGTGAGAGAGTGCAGAGCAGGGCGGCGATGGAAAGAAAAAAGAAAAAACACAGCAAAATGGCCGCGGTGATGGAAACGAGTTTCGACGTCCGCGGAACGCCACGCCACGCCACGCCACGCCACGCCACGCCACGCCGCGCCGCCGCCTGGTAGGCGGTCTGCTTGATGGCGGCGAGGCGGCGGGGCGGCGCCACTTACAGTGCTCACTCCCCGTCGCTTCCTCCGCGCCGACAAGCAGTGCAGCGAGCAGCCCGAGCAGCGCGGCTTGCAGCAGGGCGGACTCGCCTGGCCCAGATTTCCCGAGGCGTTTCGACAACACCGACCGAGCTGCATTTGAGCGCATTTGAGCGGACTGGGCAGTGTGGCGTCCGGGGCGCCGCGGCCGGCGCTGGAAATGGGGCTTCCCTCGCGGGGTCCGCGGTACAGTGCGGGTACCTGGCACGGGCGGTGACGAAGCCCCACAGCCGCTGAGGCGGCACGTCCTTGGCTGCGTTGGCGAGGCCCGGGGCCCGGGGCCCGGGCAGGGCGGCCGGGCCAGGCCATCGGCGTGGCGCAGCACAGCCCGTGTTATGAAACCCGTCACACACCAATACGCCCGTCCCGGAGCCCCGGCCGTCCCCGGCCGTCCCCGCCGTCCGCGGGGGCGACGGGCGAAGTGGGTACGGGACGCCGCGCCTTGCTTCGCCTTGCGGTGTGCAGGACAACGACGCTTTTTTTTGCGCACGCCGAGTAAAGGCTGCCAACTTGACTGGAAATCCCCCGCGCGGCCGCGAGACGTCGTCAAATCCTCTCGAAAACAATAACAACGCGTTCGTTCGAACGCGCGGCCGCGGGGAGGACCTGGCGGCACCGCCATTGATGCCACGTCGGCGTCGTCCGGGACGCGCGCTCCGGACCGTGACGGCCGTGTATTGGTTTCCAGCGCCGCGGAGCCACGCGGAGCGCTATCACACCTCGTCGCCACCAATGATTAACAATTGTTGTTTTATTGTTCCATCGGAGCGGTGGTGCGCCCTGGCTTCGCGGACACGCCACACAAAACAAATTTTATTATTTTTTTTTTGAACGTCTTCTGCGCAACACTGGTGGAAAAATAGTCCAAGAAAAAGTACGGAATACTTTTCATGAGAACCACCATGAGATTCTGAGGTGCTACGGTGAACCAATACAGAAGATCCATGTACTTTTTCCGTGTGTGACCCCTTTTCTGTACTTTTACCGTACTAAACTAACCGAATTTTTTTGCAGTGTAGGAGGGGGTCGCGCAGTGTAGTAAAGTGGCCTAGACGGGCTTGGCGCTTGCTGCGCTTGCGTCCGGCCCGCCTAAACGGCTGCAATCGGCACATCCCGCAATACATCCTGTCTGGCGGGGCGGGGCGGGGCTGGGCTGGGCTGGGCAGGGGCCTACAGGACGGGGAGGGGGCGGTGGGCGCCGCGCCCGCACCGCGGCCACCCCGAACAACGCAACCCAGCAGCGCAATGTTGACAAGCACGAAACACCGAGAAACACCTTGGCGAGCTGACCGACTCGGCCCGTGCACGGCTAAAGAAAAGTAACGGCGGTGTAATCGGTTTGGAATTACGTACTGCAGAGCGTCAACCACAAAACGAAATCAAAGTCACACGTTGCGTGTTTCTGTTGGCGGCGGTCAAACGGGGCCCGGTGACTCACATGAGGTCGTCGTCACCGCTTCCTGGAGCCGACTCCCTAATTGTGGGAACCGCTACCTCCCCGGCCACGCCAAGACGGCCAAGACCCCCCGAAGGCTGCCGGGCTGCTGCCCCCGCGCGTTGAACGGCCGCGTCCAGGGCCACGGGGTGGCGCGCCAGCAGCAGGCTCATTCCGAGCACTTCTCTCCTCGTTCTGTCTCTCTCGCACTCATGGGGCGCCCCGTGTGGGTGCGAGAGAGACAGAGCGCTAAGTATTGTCCACTGCCGCACTGCCAAGCGTCGCGGGGGGCTATTATCGAGTGTCCGGGGTGCGTTCCAGAAAGCCATCCACCTGCGGGCTCATATTTTGCCTACCTACAGGGGCTGTGATGCTGGTTGCCTACCAGCAGGCGTTTAGGGAATATCACCGGGGGGAGGCGATCGCCCCCCCCCCCTCTTAAACCGCGCCTGCTCGTCGCTCCCCTCCAGGACGCCCTAGCAGTGCGATAAAGACAGCAGCTGACGAAGCGCGTATCGTGCAAGCACGGAGTGGACTCATTCCGCACATTCCGCACGGCGTTTCCGCCGCCTTGTCGCCGGCTGCTGCACACTGAATATCCGAGTCGTCGTCGCTCTGTCTCTGTCGCACTCATGGGGCGTACCGCACAGGTGCGAGACAGTCAGAGCGACGAAAGCGACTCTCGGACGGAATCAGTCCGCTGGCGACTCGACCCATGGTTGCGGTGCGGGGGTCGCGGGGCCGGGGAATGGTGGCAAGGGAAGGGGGTAGGGGGAATGGGAGGGAGAGATGAGACCCAACTGGACCCAACAACCACCCCACCCAACAACGCAAACGAACGCCGCGCAACAAGGCTTCGCGTTTTTACACGCCGTACAGCGTTATCCACACACGCCGCCATGAACCCAATCTATCTGCCCTGTATCTGCAACAGCCCATTCCATCCCGACGCTTCAACGCACGCCGCGGTAAAGCATGTAAGTTATAACATGGGCGCAGCCTAACCTCTCATCCGCTTGTCCATGTCCTCTCGTGCTACTGTGTGCTCTGTGTTTGCAGAGGCTGAACTCCGACCTGGAAGGCACCGGACTCGTGGCAAAGTCGCTTTACTGCAGTGTTTACCGCCAGGGCCAGGGGTCCATCCCGACGTACTGCGTGTGGAGTGCAATGCTGGCAAGTGAAGGGGCAAAACCAGAAGCCATCAATGATGTGGTTAAAAGAACCAAGGTTCGTGCAGTGTTTGCAATGTTCATTGTTGCATCGGTCTAGTTATTGGGGACTAACTGGCCGAGCAAGGGAAAGAGAAAAAAATGTGAAGTGATGTATCATTTTCCAAAATAACTCTGGTATCATGATTGTCTTTTGGTTTCTTGTTGCTCACCGTAAGATGAACTTTCAAACCCAAAGTTATGGCACCCACTGGTTCCTGAGTTATTGAAGTTTATAAATTGTCGCAAAGAACCAGAAAGTTGTCGAGACCTGAATTTTTTTTACAAGTTCTTAATTGATGTGCCTATCCTGTGGCAAAGCCAGATTGCCAATTTTTCTAAATTAAACAAGAGTCTATCTCAAAAAACAAAAAATTTAACCAAAATTTATTTCAAAATAGTAAAAAACAAAAAACATATTTTTGAAAACATTTTGCTAGCTATTAATTTATGTGTATTCTCAAATTTGGCTTTGCTAGTCTGTTTGCATGTCCACTGGGCTTTTAGATAAAAAATCACACACCCCCTAACTTTTTGGTTCATGGCGAGGAGAATATTTAGTGAACGACTAAAATCATACTTAAACCTCCATAACTTTAAAACGAATGGGGTTTGGGAGTCGTTAGGACCTTTAGGACACGTCTGCGGTTGTAAAATTTTTTCATAGTAAGCAACTAAATATCAAAAAACCAAAGCACTGCCACCAATACCTTGGATAGTTTTTTCACCATCCATATAGGAACCTTTATTTTGAGTGTTTGTTTGATGCAGGGACGGGGCTTGGTGATGCAGATGGGCACAATCACTATCCTACGAGTCAAGTGCCAAGCGACCTCTCCGTTAGCTGCCCCCTCTCAAGGGCTCTACTTTCATTAATATTGAAGATTACTTCAACTGCACCCGTCAAGTGATCTAGTGTATTTGTGAGTGCATCCCTTTAATTGGTGTTTAAATACAATGACAAATTATTGTTAATTTTGGTCTAGGTTCAAACCACTTTGAGGAGTTGATGAGCGGTCTATTGTGCCAACATACATAAATGCTTTCAATATTGTAATTATCCCGTTGCCCACTGCATTGTAGTGGCTGCGATTTTCATTCTTCTTGACAACGTGCCTCTCATACAGCTCTTGTGTGTTTTTATTTTATAACAAACACTTTTTTTGTGGTGTTAGAGATACTCTTTTTATTACCTCATTTATAATACACGTGAATCTAATTATACAAATTTACTTTCTGAAAATAATTATATGAATTAATTGTTTACTGCATTTCCAAAATTGGTTGTGCTTTCTGTACAGAAATTAATTATGCTAGCTAGAGGGACCGACGCACAGTCGGCCAGAAGACCGGTGGAGGCGGCCAAAATTCTAGACGCGTTTTGAGCTCCAGAGTCGCCAAGTGGGACCCGAACTCGTGTGACCCCACCGATAGATTCCTCGTTCGGAGAGCAATCCATTGGTGGGGTCATACGTTCGATTCGAGCCCCATTTGGCGACTCTGTAGTTCAAAACATGTCTAGAATTTTGGCCGCTTCTACCGGTCCTCTGGCCCACTGTGCGACATCGACGAGTGCGGGTTGAATCTGCCGGTCCAACCGCGGCCGGGTGCCTCGGCGTGCCTCGGCGCGTGCCGCCGTGTCTTCGACCTCCGCCTGCACGTCACGCCACGCGTCACGGCGTCACCCCGAGGCGGCGGCGTAGTGCCCTGTGCCTACGCCTCTTCGCGCCGCTTTGCGCCGCGTCACGAGGAGAGCTCCAGGATGCCGACGGCGCCACGGATGAGCTGCCGCCCCGCTGCAGAGTCGCTTTCGTCGCTCCGCCTCTCTCGCACTCATGGGGCGTCCCGTTGAGGCGCGAGAGAGACAGGGAGACGAAAACGACTCTCGGAACCAGTCTGCTCGATTCGATAGGTCGATGCTCGGCGGCTTGCGTAAGCGTGTGACTGACCCCACGCGTGCCTTGGTGCCATCCTGGAAGCGCACCAACCGGGGACGAGGACCGTGGTCACCTTGAAGGCGGACAAGACGCTGCCACGGGGCGTTCACCCTCGCCGTTGCGCTGCCCCGCTGCCTCGCGGCCTTGGGCTGTCCATCGCTAAGGGGATGCTGTTGCGAGGGGAGGGGGGCGGTCGCCGACCTGGTGCGGGGGAGGGGGTGGGGGTGGGGTTTATGGCCGTTTCGTCAACGCGTCGTCGTCCCAGGACATAATGCATGAAATGGGGACGCGGACCGCGCGGTGATGCGGCCGTGATGGGGCGCATTGTGCTGCGAGTACCGTCTGTCTCTCTCGCACTCGTGTGTAATCAGCCAGCAAGCCACGGCACGCAAGTCTCTCGATGGACCTGAGGGGCCAGGCCAGGTCAGGCACACCGTGGAAGCACATGTAGTTTGAATGTTATCCAACTCTGCAAACTCTCGTCCCGTGTCATCGCAATGCCTTGAAAAGCGAACTGCAACGTCTCTCTTCTTTTCCCTCCAATGGCGTTTTCGGCCAGAATCTCGGATCGCGTTCCTTTGGTTCCTTTCACTTTCGTCCAGGATTTCTCCTCCTTGGCTGGCCCGCCTGTCAAAGGCCGCGCGCTGCGTCGCGCTGCGTCGCGCTGCGGACTGAATGCTTTACAACCCCCGTTGTCTGGCCGTTGTCTCACCGTCACCAGGTCACCAGCGAGGCTGCTAACTAGCCAATGACGAGGTACACAGCCACGTACTACACAGCATTTGGCGCGACTTGCAGCATTCAGAGTGACTTTTCGCGGCAGAGTCGAATCTGCTCCCTGCACTGCAGCCCGATGACGTCACATAGTGTGTCAATGGCTCGATAAGCATCGCGGGGTGTGAAGGGTGTTTACAACAGGAAGGGTGCGAGACGCTGCGAGGCGCGATGAAGGCTGCGAAACAATGCCTCATTATCGCGCTGCTGTAAAATCGGCCGGCCACCCTTCTATCTATCAACCTTGGACGCCCCCAGCCCCACCACTACACCTGAAAAGGTGACTTCTTCGCCTCGCAGGGAGCCACCGGGCCGCGCGGGGCCCGCGTCGAAAAAAAATGGCTACAAAAAAAGGGAAACTCGTCGTCCTTTTGAGCCTTTTCATGAGGGCCCCGGCCCTGCCCGTTATATTGCCGATATTATGGGCCATCATTATGGAGGAAATTGCTTTTCAATCACGCTGCTCGCCCCCGAGTCCTCCGTAAACAATGGCCAGAAAGTTAAAACTTTTGAGAAAGGGGCTCCGTGGCACGCGGGGAGGAGGGGGTCGGGGAGAGGCCCTATTTGTTCTCTTGCGTGAATGAATGGTGCATGCTGCTTTGTATTAGTTCTACTGCACGTCCAGGCCAGGTCTGCCCAGTCCCTTTTCGATGTTAAACACCTTGCATTGTGCAGCGCGTCGCGTCGTCCAGGACGTCGTCCAGGGGTCCCCGGGGGCTGTCACTGTGTCCTCCTCGTTTTTGTGCCCCTCGATGAGGTTGTTCGGGAGGCTGCTGGTTGACAAGTTGCCGTTTTGTTCCGACTGGAGCACACTGGAGCGGCATTCCGCGATGTGTGCGTGGACTCCGTGGACTGCGTGGACGCGGGGGTCTTCGCCCTGGCGTGGCCTCGTTTCGCCCGGGCCTTTTATATCGCGCTGCATCATCGCGTGAGGAGAGGAGTCACTGTCCGACAAAATCAGTCGAATTTCAGATAAATGAACTCCCTGTTTTAATTTTGTTTCGCCCCTTGTCTCTAGTTCGATCCGTAGATCCGTTACAAATAGAAAGAAGTTATGACTATTTTTGCAATCTGGTTTAAAGATATTTTTTTTTAATTTAAAGGTTCAAATGATAAAAATTTATTTAATTCATGCTTTAATTGGCGAGCTCGTCCTAATGAGCGAAGGAGGCGGAGGGGTGGGTCCAGAGGCGGGCTCAGGGGGGACAGAAGTCGCAAGAGTCGACTTGGTGCAAGAGCGACTTTTTGCCTACCTCTCAGGTGGCTTCTTCGGGGGGAGGGGGGGGGGGGAGGGGCTCGTCCGGAGTCGCGCACACCGACGCAGCGGCCTGTCGGCTCGCGCCGCGGGGCGCCGTCGGCACCCCATCCAGCGGCGTGACTTGACTGCGTGCCGGGCTTCTTGCCTGTATATCTGCCGCCGCTGCCGCCGAGCCCGGGCTACCTGTTACACTCTGATGCACTGTGAAGCAGCTGTCCAAATCGAGATGCAAATTGAAGAGGATTTTGACTAGCGACTGAAACTACCGAGCACTCAGTCTGCTGCGGTGATAAACGGGTCATGTTGGATTGTGCCCGGCAATACCTTAAAAATGAAATCAGGAAAATTTAGGTTTTTGTGAAGTCTAAGAGCCGGTATTCCAACCCACGTCCGCTTCAAAATGCACGGGTCTGCTCGGAAAACACGCGCGTGGCCGCGAGGCGGGCAGGACGCCGTCAGGCCGTGGATCGTGTTTCTGGCGTCGCGACGCCCCGGCAGCCCGGGCAGACGAGCGCCATTCGCTCCGCTTGTCCGCGCGTCTCTCTGCCGCCCGAATCCGCAGGATCGCCTGTCTCTCTCGCACCCCGACGAGGCGTCGCATGAGTGCGACGGAGACGGAGCGGCGAGGCGGTCCGTCGGAATGGGGCGGCCGACGTCGCGACGCCCCGCGCCGCGTGTCCCGCGGCGGCGACGGCGATTTTGAGGCGCTTGGCGGGGACGGTGAAGCGCCGAGGGTCATCAGGGTGACGGGGCAGCCCGGGGGCAGCCGCACTGCGCACAGTGGACCAGAAGACCGGCGGAGGCGGCCAAAACTCTAGACGCGTTTTGAGCTCCAGAGTCGCTAAACAGGACTCGAACCGAACGTGTGACCCCACCAATGGATTCCTCGTTCAGAGAGCTATCCGCTATCCATTGGTGGGATCAAACGTTCGGTTCGAGTCCCATTTAGCGACTCTGGAGCTCAACGCACGTCTAGAGTTTTGGCCGCCTCCGCCGTCCTTCTGGCCCACTGTGGTGCGCGCGCAAATTGGACCACTACACCGTATTTAGGAGGCTGGAGCGCTGCTGGAGACTTGAATGCGGCGTCCGTTCCCACATCGAGGGTGCAGTGCTCTGCAGCGAGGGTCGCCGTCCGAGCCGCCCCGGCGGAAGCAGCAGAGCCCCGCCAGCGCCCCGCGGCCAGGTGCCCCACAACAGGCAGGGCGCTGCTGCAGGCCCAGCGCGGGGTGAGCCACCCCGCCAACCCCGTCGAGGCCCTCATGGCCTGCATCCCTTCGGTCCCTTCGGCCCGGACTTCCTTCCGATACCGACACGTACTTTTTTCCCTTCCCGCCCTTCCTCGTGCCGTCTCTCTCGCACCCAACAGTGTGCACCCCGCGGCACGGCGCGGCACGGCGGGGCCCGGCGGCACTTCAAAAGGCTGGCGGCGGCGCGGCGCTGTTTTTTACCACCCCTTGCGCCCCCTCCCCCTCCCCCTCCCCGTGCCCTCGCCCTCCGCCGCCGGGGAATCAAGAGTCGCTTGACATAGAGGACCGTGGCGAACCGGGCCTGCCTGTGGTGACATGTGTACGTTTTGGTGCCCCGGCCAAGATAACTTGCGGCGTGCGCCGCGCGCGCGTGTGTGCGTGTTTGTGAAATAATAATAGCGCATGGTTAGTGCAGTATATTTTTAACCCAACCCTCCTGTTTCCCTGTTTATTCGGATTCTGTGAAACAATTTGCAAAGCAGCTTGAGGTGCGCGTGGTCGCAGCCCCGCCTGACAGGTGTTGCCTCGTTCGGCTTTGGTGGCCGCGGGTCTTTTGGTCCAGCCCGTTGAGCCGGGTGCCCCTGGTGGCCGAGGAGGGGGTGGATCCTACCCCACTGCAGTATGGCCACTCTGGCGTTGCAACCGGCCCAACTGGCGCGACGAATGCGTTTGGCGTGACATCGGGCCAACGGGTGCAGCTCTGCCGAGCTCTGCTGCCGCGCGCCCCGGCGTTCCAGCTTCTGCGGGTCGCGCTCGGGCTCCGGTGTCCTTTTAGAACAGCAGGCAATAATTACACTGCAATTCAATTGCTGCACACTCTTCGTTCATGCAAAGTTCCAAACTCGCGGCCGCGACGCGCAGGTACGTACTGGATTGGCTGACGTCACCTACACTCCACGCCACCATTTTTATTTGTCATCCTCACGCTCACACACGCGCGTTCACACACACGGAAAGCACCCGCGCATACGGTAGCGACATGACCGGTAGCTCTGCCGCCCCCGCCCGCCCCTCCCCCGCGGGCCGCCCCCACCCCCGGCGCGTCGGGCACTGGCGCGCCGTGGTTGGCCGCGCGCCGCTGGAGGCGGAGCAGGCCGTGCCGCCATTGGCTGGCTGCGCGTCGCTGCGCCGCCGTGGCGGTGCGGTGGCGGTGCGGGTGGAGGGGCGGCGGCGAGGAGGAGCCCCGGCCGCTCGGCCAGGACGCCGACGCCGAGGACTCGCCAGTCGATCGCAGCCCCGCGACCCTCGAGGACGTGTCGGAGTGCCCCGTCTTGGACCTTGGTGCCCTGTGCCGCCTGTGCCGCCGGTGCCGCGCGACGGAGAAAGTGACCCGCGACGTGCTAGTGACCGCCACCATGCACCGCAGCGCCGCGTGAAGGCCAAGGATTACCGTGCACTGCTGCAGCAACCGCAACCAACCCCAACCTCTATCCGTGCGACGCCAGCATCGCCGCGTGTGGACGCAGTTGGAAGGACGGAAAGTGAAAGAAAATGACAGTGACCAATTTCGGCATGATGAGGCCGTGTTTCACAGGATACCCCTTCCAAGGTGAGTGTAAGTGTACTTGACATTTTCTAAGCACGCGGGTGGAGGGAGGGACCGGGGCGTCCTGGGATCGGAGCGGCTGATTAGTTCGGCGCCTTTCTGAGCTTGCTTTTGCGTGAATATTGTCTCATTCCTAACGCAAAAGTGGACAAGTTTGTCACACGAACTGTTGTTATTTTGTGCAAACGCAATGCGTACCAAATTGGATCCTTCTTGTCGAATTTATGTCCCCATTGCGTACAAAATACCAACAGTCTGATGAGCAAAATTGTGGTTTGCTGCTACTTGCACATGGGATTCGCTTTGTACGTAGTTGTCTATTTGACGTGCTTTGTTTCATTCATTTCTTGACGTAGTGCCATTGTTCTTGAATTTCTTTGACGCGATTCGATTGCGGAAAAACGTTAGAAATTTACTTTAGGATAAAGTTTACCACGTGCCACGAGTAACACTACCAGTAGTGCATGCTTTTCAAATTTTCAAACAAACAAATTGTGACATTGCTCGTTATCTGTAGTATTCCGGATTATCATCTTCATTGCGTTACGCGGTGGTCACAACATCATGGAGTATGGATATATGGGACGTGATAAACCTGGATGCCACGGAGGGGGTGGGGGTCGCACTCTGCCCACTTGTCTCCATTGACGAACGTCAATATGCTAAACTTTATAGCTCGTTTGAATAGGTAATGTTGACAGGTCAACGAGGGGCGAGGGGTGGTGGAAAGGGGGGGGGGGGGGGGCTCCTTTCAGGGCGAAGGCACGATGAGGGTCGGAGGCACAAAGACGGCCTGCCCGATAGACAGCAATGCATGGAATTAGTGATTTGTAAACGCGTGCTACACTGTCTGCCCGCGCACCAATGGGATGAGAGCCTAGTCCTGAAATTGAGGTTGAATCAAAATCGGGAAGACCGAAGACGAATGAAAAACGAGACTGCTATGCGTCCGTCGCGTGAAATTCGAAATTCGTTAATGTTGTGTCGTGTCTTACATTTAGTTGGTCCCCTGTCCGCTGCGCTGAACCGACTCGAAATATTCAATTCCCTCGTGTCACGATATCCGAGATCACACACACGGATACACTCTCTCAAACTCACACACTCACACCTGTTGCGACGACAGCCGCGCCACATGCGCAGCAGCGCAGCCCCCCTTCCAATTCATCTTCCCGATTCGAAAGGCGGGTCCGTTCCAGTGTCTCGACGGTTCCGCCGCGCTGCCCGCCGTAAGTGACCATGTCTGACCGGCAGGCCCGGCAGGCCCGGCACCATACACTACCTGGAGTCCTCGGTGAACGCGCACGCACTCGAGGGACACGGCGAGACATGATAGGTGCTGGGACCCCTCGCGAGCGTCCCGAGGGGGCTGTAGACCGTGGCGGCCGGGCGCGGCGCGGCACGGCACTGCGTAGCGGTACGCATGTCACTTCACATGTCTGCGGCGCGACAACCGAGCTGACGTTTATGATGGATTGCTGTGACAGCAGTTGTAAACAACACGCCTGCCGTGCCCTGCCGTGCCTTGCCGTGCCGTGCAGAAGCCCCTGCCATATACACCGCAGTGTCCCGCTCAGTCCACCTCAGTCCGAGGAACTGCTTCTGTGCTTCGACAAGTCCGTCACTTTGTCCTGATTCCGGCCCAGCCAGTGTGCCGTTGCCTCCGCGTGGAAACTTTGACTCAGCAAGGCAAAAAGAAGAGGCACAAATTTTTCATAACTGGCAAGTCGATAATTTACCTCGCGGCGCGCGCGGCGCGTTTGCCCACGGTAGTCACGACCGCGTTGTCGTCGTCCGGACTCGACTGTCGGCGAATTGTTTTTCTGGTGGCGCGGGGAGCGGGCGGCGCACGACGGGAGCCTCGCGAAGGCGGAGCAAAGACGAGCAAGACGAGCCCCCCGTGGGGCTGGCGGGCCTGGCGGCGGGGGGCGCGAGTGACTCATCGGTGCTAAACGGTAGCCTGATCGGGGGCACTGCCAGGCACGGCGACGACGGCACCCCCGCGGCCTGCACGGCCTGCTCGGCCACCTGCGGGGGAGAAAGTCGCGCCCCGGCCGCGTCGCTCCGTCTCTCTCGCACCCACACGCAGCGCCCCACGAGAGAGACGGAGCGACGAAAGAGCGCGCGCTGAAAAGAGGCGTGGAATCTCTGCGCGAGGAAGACTGCAGAGCGAACATCGTCGCTCTGTCTCTCTCGCACTCATGAGGCGGGCCTTCCAGGTGCGAGAGAGACAGAGCGACGAAACGCTACGCTGTGCGGAGTCAGTCAGAGAACCGCGCCAAGGCGGCGCGTCGGCGCGCGGGGAGCAGCGCGGGGAGCAGGCCAAGCAGTACCAGGAACACGACGCCCGCGCGCCTACTGTCGCAGTGCAATTAGCTTTCTCAATTAGTCAATGTCCAGTCTGCGACGACGACAACGACGACGAGGTGGAAGGTGCATTTCTTCGCGATCGGGCCGCCAGCCGCACTCAATGTTGTACCGTTAGCTTCACTGCAAAAAATCTGCAGTGCAACTTCCAATAACCGAACGTTGTAACCCTACCATAAGGATTGCTCTCCGGATGAGGAATCCATCGGCGGGGTCACACGTTCAGTCCGAGTCCTGTTTAGCGACTCTGGCGCTCTAAACGCGTCTAGAGTTTTGGCCGCCGCCACCGGTCTTCTGGCCCACTGTGCGCCGCAGAGAATCACTTTGGGCGGGGCGTGCGGCGTGCGCGGCGGGGGCAGGACGCGCGCCTACACTGACTACACAGACTTACACGCACGCGCGCCGCCTTCTTCGTTTTTGTCGCGCACCGCGTCGCACCGCCACGTACTAGATTAGACGCCTAATGAAGGCGCGTGACGGCATGGCTGCCGGCTGGCGCCGAACAGTGGCTCTGCGCGTCTCTGTCGCACTCATGGGGCGTCCCGCGGCGGTGCGAGAGAGACAGACAGAGCGACGAAGCGCACTTCGGGAGCATCGCTCTCCGCGGCGCGGGGCGCGGCGGGGCGCGGCGGGCAGGGCATGGCGGCAGCGTCAATGGCGCCCCTTCACCGCGCGTGCCGCCGCCGGGCCCAACGCCCCGCCCGTGAAATAGTGCACACTGGAAAAAAAGGCTCTCGCCGATGACGCGTTTTCGTGACGATTTTGAAATACTAACCATCCCGAGTGGCACGGATCACAATGCATGTTCAACGGGCAGGTCTGTGTCTTGTTGCGCTTTGCTTCCGCTGGCATGTATTGCATGTTCGAGGGGCAGGTCATGTCTTGACCTGTGCTCTGCCTCGGTTATGCTGTAGTTTGTCAGAGATCTGCTAGGACGCACATTGGGCCAGAAGACGGGCGCCGGCGGCTCTAGACGCGTTTTGAGCTCCAGAGTCGCTAAACAGGACTCGAACCGAAGCGTGTGACCCCAACCAATGGATTCCTCGTTAAGAAAGCTATCCATTGGTGGGGTCACACGTTCGGTTCGAGTCCCATTTAGCGACTCTGGAGCTCAAAACGCGTCTAGAGTTTTGGCCGCCTCCACCGGTCTTCTGGCCCACTGTGCGCCGGTCCATGTTCATTGCGCTAACACTCGGCGACTCCTGTTGCAGGCCAGGGGCGCGTGAACCAGCTCGGCGGGGTCTTCATCAACGGGCGGCCGCTGCCCAACCACATCCGCCTCAAGATCGTGGAGATGGCGGCGGCCGGCGTGCGGCCCTGCGTCATCTCGCGCCAGCTGCGCGTGTCGCACGGCTGCGTGTCCAAGATCCTGAACCGCTACCAGGAGACGGGCTCCATCCGGCCGGGCGTCATCGGCGGCTCCAAGCCGCGCATCGCCACGCCCGACGTGGAGCAGCGCATCGAGGACTACCGCCGCGCCAACCCGGGCATCTTCAGCTGGGAGATCAGGGACAGGTGAGAACAGGCACTGTGAAAGCATCGCCACTCTTTGAAACGCGGAGGTGTGGAGGATTTTGTTTGTTTGTTTACTGTTTCACGGAGCTTAAATTTCTACTCCGCCGTCGGCCGCGCGGCAGTGTGGGTGACTCCGGGTGCCGTGTGCGTTTAAATCTCCGAACTCCAATGGGGGAAAAGTGTTTCGGTTTTGAGACCCGTGCTGCCAAAAGGTCCCTCTAATGCACCGGTGGCGACAGGGTTGCCAACCTCCGCCTGTCTACCGAGCTTCGCTCTCGAGAAGTTTGACCACGCGCTGAAGTTGGCAACCCTTTCGACACTGGTGCGTCGTGGGTCCACCTGAGCAGGCCGTACTGTAACACTGTTCGTGTCTTCTCTGCCATCGCCGCATTACAATCAGCTGTGCTGTCCTTGGAGGTCAGTGTGTTGTCAGTGACTCGTCACCGAGATGCAACACAGACAAACGGACACAGGAGGAATGCCTGGGAGAGGGGAAGAAGGGAGGCAGCGAAAGAAAAAAGGCAGTCAGTGGACCACCGCTGACCTCCTGTACCAAGGTTGAGTCGTAGTGTGTTCATTTATGGCAGTTTATGCGTTTACTGCCGGTCGCGTCCGAGACTCCGAGGCTGTTCGGAGACTCGTCGGAGACACGGCGGAGACACGTCGGAGACAGGGGTCATTGTGAGGCGAGGCTGGTTGGAGTATGATTTACAGGGGCCATCGTCCAGCCAGTCAGGGTCTCATTGTGCGCGGGCACGGTCCCAGCAGTGTACCAGCAGTCCCGGTGGGGTGACTCTATTTCAATTGCTTTTCACCTGTTTAGTTAGCAGTGTTCGCGGTAAACGCGAGCGGAGTGTCGTCCAAAGAGGAAGAATTTCGGTCCGTGAAACGCGCGCGTCTCAAATTTCAGGCGCTCACCGAAATTTGGCGGGAAATTGTTTAGGCGATGGTGATTCCGAGGAGTGGTTGGTTTCGTGGCCCTGTCTCCCTCACACCTTTACAGGACGCCTCACGAGTGCGACAGAGTCACATCGGAGTCTGCTGAATCCGTTGCTGACAGCGGCAAGGGCTTGGATCGACGGCAGTGACGTTGTCGGCCGGGCAATAAAGGCCGCAAAGGACACTTTACGAGAGCATGAGCGCTGTGCAGGGCGTGGCGGGGCGGGGCGGGGCGGGGTGGGGCGGGGCGGGGTGGGGTGGGGTGGGCGGCGAGGCGCGGCGAGGCGCGCTCAAAGGCCGGCCGCGCAGGATAAGCCACGTCGGCGGTCCCCTTGGACTCCAAATAATCCTTGCGTTCTTTTCCAGGCTCATCAAGGACGGGCTGTGCGACCGGACGTCGGCGCCGTCCGTGTCGGCCATCTCCAGGCTCGTCCGCGGGGGCTCCGAGGACGGCGACAGGAAGCCCGGACTCAGCGATCTCGACTACTGTAAGTATTGCCTTTCCTTTTTGCCGCGTTCGGCTCGGAGAGTAATCAATGGCGGGCTGGACGGCGCGATCGGAATCGCCCCGAAGGCGGACTCCTTTTTCGGTCGATGAGACGAACATGCGCCGCGCCGCCATGTTCGGGGCGCCGCCATGCCGTGGCCATCCAGGCCGTTCCCCACGATGATGGGGCTATAATAACTGCGGCCGCCGAGCGCGCCGCGCGCCGAGCCAACCAGGACGACCAGGCGAGGGAGGGGGAAGGGGGGCGGCTGGCTTCTGGCGCGGCCTATGCCGCGGCGCCGCTAAACCCGCCAGGTGGGCTGCCTGGCTGGCTGGACGGGTTGTATCCATCTCGAGGGATATCCGGCACAGCCGGGCCCGGCGTGCCGTGCCGTGCCGTTGCCTGCATCCCATTGGCCGGGGGGCGTATCCTCACCTGCGCGTCTTTCCGCCCGGCCGCGCCGCCGCCAACGAGACCCTGTCCGCGGACTGGTTCTGCGCTCGTCGCTCTGTCTCTCTCGCACCTGTACGGCAGGCCCCATGAGTGCGAGAGAGACAGATCGGCGACGTGCGCTACCGTTCTCACCCCGCGGCCAGGTGGCAGCCACCCTCCGCGACCGGAAACAGAACGGACAGCGATTCGTCGCGAGGGTGGCGCGACCCACTCCGGACTCCGAGTGTGGGGCACGGAGCACAGGCCGGCCCGCCCTTCCCAGACTTGTTACCCCGCCGCACAGCAGGCTGAGTCGTGGCTCTGCCTCTCTCGCACTCATGGGGCGTCCCGTACAGGCGCGAGAGAGACAGAGCGACGAAAACGACTCTCGGAATCAGTCTGCATAGACGACTATTGCGCTCATGTGTGGCGAAAGGCGCGGGGAAAAAACGGGATCCAGTCCAGGGAGACTGGGCCGGGCTGGGCCGGGCTGCCGTCGCGCCATGTGCTGCGCAAGGCAGGGCAAGGCAAGGCTAGATAGAGCATGCTAGAGCCGAGGGCGAGGCGCCGCCCCCCATATGCCGGCCTGCGCCCCGCGGCCCTCCCCGGCCCTGCGGCGCCGTGCCGGCTGCTGCCCTTTCGTTCTGCTGCTGCAGACTGATTCCGAGAGTCGTCGCTCTGTCTCTCTCGCACCTCGACGGCACGCCCCATGAGTGCGAGAGAGACAGAGCGACGACTCTCGGACAGTGTGCTGCCGACGACGTCGCGGCAGAGGCCTGGCGCTGGCGGGCCGCGTCCCGCATCCCCCGGCGACTTCCCTTCGCGCTCTGAAAGCTGCCGCGCCGCTGGCCTCGGCTCGGCCCGCCGCGCGGCCCTGCAGGTCTCTCTCGCGCCCCAGCGCAAAAGCCGCGTGAGTGCGAGAGCGACGGACCGTCGAAAGCGCGACTCTTCGAAAGCAAGCTTGCTGGCCGGCGGGCTGGGGGGTAATTTGGTCGCCCAGTGATGCGCGTCCTATTGGTATACACCGCCCCCGCCGCCTCCCCGCCGCCCCCGCCGACTCTCCCTGTGGCCACGCACCGCCGATGCAGCGCGCTGCTGTTGTTGTTGCTGCCGCACACACACCGATACCGCCTCGTCGTTACAGCGGCTGTCATAAAGGTTTTTAATGCTGCTTCCGCCGCCGTGAGACCCGCACACTCACGTCTCAGCGCGCAGGCAGGCCGACTCGCAGTGCCGCACCAAGCACTCGCGGCAACGTTTCAAATTTCTCGATGGCCAGCAGTTTTGCACTGCAGCCGCACCTGCGCCGGTCTATTTTCGTTGCGTGTCGGGCAGACAAATGAGTTCGCGGCCGAGGCGAGTGTGCTTTTTCGTGTGCTTTGCGGCTGCGCCACTGGCAGTGGCCACTGCCTCGCCGACAAAAGAGATGAGAAAGGCCGCTAAAGGCGGCCAGCTAAATTGTTTGGGGGATGCAGCGTGCAGGGCGCGCAGGGCGCTACGAGGCGTTTGCCCCGTCCGAGCCGAGGACGCCCCGCTGCGCGCCGATCTCGCCCTCTCGCTCGCACTCGTGGCCGAGGCCGCTGGGACGGCGGCGGTGCGCTCTCTCTCTCTCTCTCTCTCTCCCCTGGGAGCGCCGAGGACGAAGATTAATGAACGGCTCGCCCCCGCCCCGACACTGCAGCCACGCCGCCGCGCTGCCGGGCCAATTTGTGTGTGGATACTCGTCTTCTGGAAACGGTGGAGAGATAGATGCTAACTCACTGTATTAAGAGCGATCCGGCCGCTGGGATGCGCTCCCATTAGTGCGAGAGGCGATCAAGACGGCCTGCACGGCGGCGAGGCGGCGAGCGCGCACCCCGCTGCAGTGTAGCTGCAGTGCCGCGGCCCCAGAGAGCCGAAAGCCGCCAGGGCGCAGTCATCCGGGCACCTGTTGCGGCGGCCAACGCCCCTCGCGCCCCCATGTCCCCCATGCTCCCCGCGACAGCACCGCCCTAGCTGCCAACGCCAACACACCTGCCTGGCAGTGTGGCGGCTCGGGCGCAAAGCTCGCCTAGCGCTTCCCACAGGCGGACGGACGGCGGTACGGCGCACAGTGGGCCAGAAGACCGATGGAGGCGGCCAAAACCGTAAACACGTTTCGAGCTCCAGAGTCGCTAAATGGGACTCGAACCGAACGTGTGACCCCACCGATGGATTGCTCTCCGAACGAGGAATCCATTGGTGGGGTCACACGTTCGGTTCGAGTCCCATTTAGCGACTCTGGAGCTCAACGCGTCAGGAGTTTTGGCCGCCTCCACCGGTCTTCTGGCCCACTGTGCGGCGGCGGCCCCTTCTTTCTCCCACTGCGAGGCGCGAAAACCCCCGCCTCAGCAATTTGTAACTGTTGGCCTGAGCCTGCCGGCCGCTTCAGCAATATGGGAAAATGGTGCGTCGGTACCGCCTCGGGCAGCGGGGGCCCCCGGCCGCCCCGGGCCCCTGCCCCGGCGGGGGCACAGCGGGGACCAAACCTCAGGCGGCACGGAGCACGGACTGAGGGCTCGACCTGTCCGGGTCTCGCGCCCCATTTGTCCACGTTGCGGCCCAGCCGGGCCCAACATCCCACCGCCGCCCTGCGCTGCCCGCCGACCGGGATGATCCGAAAGGGGCCGAAAGGGTCCGCAGGCTGATTCACTGCTGTCTCTCTCGCACCCCTGCGGGACGCCCCTGGAGTGCGAGAGAGACGGAGAGCTGTCTCGGGAGCAGGCCGCTGACAGCGCGATGCTCGTTCTCTGCGGGCGACGGCGGTTTGACGTCCGCCTTTTTGATTGGCTCCGTTTCCGGCTCCAGGCAATCCAGGTTCCAGAGTTCCAGACCGCTTGGCGCCTCGTCTTGGGGATAACGCGGATCAAGTGCTAAGTCGGTTGCAAGTGAAGCGACGCCGTCCATAACGACGGCCTCCATAACGACCAGCGCTTTCCGCGTGACGGTCCGCTAAACGGCTGCTCCGTGCTCCGCGGGGTGCCTGCAGAGTGATTCCGAGGGCCCTTATCGTCGCTCTGTCTCTCTCGCACTGGAGCGTCCGGGGTATAGGCGCGAGAGAGACAGAGCGACGAAAGCGACTCTCGGAATCAGTCTGCTCGCGGTGCTGGTGGTGGCCTACCTCGCGACGGCGCTCGCCGTCGCACCGCGGCGCGGCTGACCACACCTGCAGCCTCCACCGCAGGGCGTAAAAATACGCTTCCCAGAAGAGCGGGCCCGACGTGTGGCTGCGTTCGAGGCACCGCGAAGGCACTGTGCGAGCCACTGTGGGCGCTACAGTGCAGGCCACCTCGCACGCGGCTCCGCGGCCCCGCGGCCAGGAGCAGGGCCTTCTAGGCCTTCTGTGCGAGGCAGCGCGGCGTGGTTTATCGCCCAAGCTTATCACGGACTACAAGACCACCGTGCGCTCCGATAGCGACCGCCCCCGTCCCCTCAAGGTCGCAGAGTAGAGTCACCCGATAGAGAGACATTTTCGTTTCGATTTCGCTTTGCGGGGGAAAGAAGGCGGAGCCGCGCGGCGCAGGCAATGCACGGCAACGCCCATGAAGATGTTACACCTGCTGGACCGCAGGCCGCCAGCTCGGGCTGGCCGGCGCTGCCGCCTGCTCGCCGCAACGTGCCGCCTTTGTTTTGCCCCGTCTATTTTTTGTTTCGAACGAACGTAATTAATTAGCCGACGTCAACGTTGGCCGGCATCCCCGCCACATCCCCGCGTCATCATCATCAGAGTCGCACCTGGAGGCTGAAACAGCGTTCCGTCGCTCTGTCTCCCTCGCACCCACACGCAACGCCCCTCGAGTGCAACAGAGACGGTGCTCGGAATCGCTCTGCCGGGCAGGACTGTGGCGGGGCCCTGCGTCGCTAGCCGGGCAGGCGCCGAGCGTGATGCTCGCTGCTTGCCACTGAATTGCCTCCCAGGCGACCTTCGGCCACCTTCGGGCCGACTGTCTTACCACGGTCTTATCCAGTGCGCACACGGGAAACGAAATCGGGTGGGCTTAGAGTGTAGTGACTGGTCGGCCGAACGGAATAAAGCCCGCCGGGTCCGTCCCATGGTCCTGCCGCCGGCCGGCCGGCGAGTGAGAAATTGTTTTAATTATTTGGAGCGATCTCGGAGTAGCCGGGCGGCCGGGCCGGGGGGAGGGCGGGGCGAGGGCACTGCCGGCACTGCTTCGCTGCTCCGCCGCCTCAATGCTCGCTGGACGCCGGCGTGCTCTGTGCCCTACCCGGCGTGCCCCGCTCCGAGGTGGCGAGGTGGACGGCGCGGCGAACAAAGGCGGCCCCTTGGGGCCCAGCGGCCAAGCCGGGCCAAGCAGACTGAGAGTCGTCTCTCTCGCACTCAAAGTTCGTCCTGTACAGGAGCGAGAGAGACAGAGGCGATCCTTCGGCATCGCGCGGCAGCGGTGCGGCAGCCAGGCAGTGTGCCAGGCACCGGACCGGAGCCCCCTCTGGGGCGCAGGCGGCGCAGGCCACCCAGGCCACACCCAGCGTTCGATTTGAGCCTTGAGGCCACCGCGACGTCGCCACCTCAACGCGCCACTTCACTCACTCGACGTTCTTTTTGCTTGCAGGCGGCAAGGGGTCGGACGCCTCGGACTGCGAGTCGGAGCCGGGCATCCCGCTCAAGCGCAAGCAGCGCCGCTCCAGGACCACGTTCTCGGCGCCGCAGCTCGACGAGCTGGAGAAGGCGTTCGAGCGCACGCAGTACCCGGACATCTACACGCGCGAGGAGCTGGCGCAGCGCACCAAGCTCACCGAGGCCCGCATCCAGGTGTGGTTCAGCAACCGGCGCGCGCGCCTGCGCAAGCAGATGTCCAGCTCGTCGGGGTCCTCGTCGTCGGGGTACGGCCCCGTGCCCGGCATCCCCGTCGCGCCCATGGCCATGCCGCCCATGTCCGTGTACCCGACCTCGTCGTCGGCGTCGTCCTCTCACGCGCCCTACATGGGGGAGACGGCGTTCACGTCGCCGCCGTCGGGCACGCTGCCAGACCAGCATGAGCAGGGCCACCACGGCCACGGCCACGGCCCCTGCGCCACGCCGCCCGAGTACATCCCCTTGTCCGGGCTGTCTGACGCCCCCGCCGCGGCCTCCGCACAGTCCGAGGGCCTCAGCCAGGACGAGGCCGGCGAGCAGACGCAGGCCTCGAGCGGCACGGGCAGCGCGGGCAGCGGACGCGGCAGCGCCACCGTGTCCAGCGCGTCGAGCGCCTCCAGCGCCTCCAGCGGCTACGGCAGCCTGTACTCCACCGCCACCAGCATGGTGAGTCCGTAGCCCTTTGCGGTGTACCCGCCCGGCCCACCGCGTCGCGCCACAAAGGCTTGCGGTGCGTCTCCGGCCTTAAAAAGTCGCCACCTTTTTCTGAGCCCGTTCTGGAATTTTTAGAAAGGAGAGCTAACGGTGTCCTTCCCTATGCTTGCAGATGGGCAACCTGTCGCCGCCCTCGTCCGAGTCGGCGCCGTCCGAGAGCCACTTCGGCCACCACCAGGGCCACATGGACAACGGACCCAGCTCGTCGCCGCAGTCCATCGCCGCCACCGGCTACCCTAGTCCCAACTACCCCAGCCCCAGCCACGGCTACCACAGCCCCACCCACGCCTACCACAGCTACCCCAGCCCCGGCTACAGCCCGGGCAGCAGCCACGCGCACTCCGTCAGCCACTCCCTGAGCCAGGGGCTGTCGCACCCCGCGTCGTCGCTCATGAGCTCCTCGGGTGAGTGCCAGTGCAGACAGCACTTTGTCGCTCGGAAACAAAACCAGTGACTAACGGGAATTTCTCTCGCCCTCGCAGTCTCCAGCAACGAGTCCGTGCTCTGCCCGACGCCGACCGCCGCCTCGTCCTCCGAGCTGGCCGTGCTCAGCAACAGCGTCACCCTGTCGGGCGGCCTGGCCAGCTCGCTGTCCGGCTCGCTGTCCGGCTCGCTGTCCGGGCCGCTGCCCTCCGGACTGGGCGTGTCCGGGCCCTGGCAGCAGTTGGCCTCGCAGCAACAGCTCGGGCCCTTGACCGGGCGCAGCCTCAACTCCTCGCCGACGTCCTCCCTGCTGGACTCGCACTCCAGCGCCATGGCGGCGCCGAGCTTCGGCCACTACGGCCAGAGGGCGCACCCCCAGCCCTTCTACTCCTGGTACTAGCGGAGCTTCGTGCCGCGTCGAACCTCCAGCCCTCCAGAGACATTATTTTCGCTGCATTTTCATATTTCTCAGAGCCAAGGTGTGTGTTTCGCACGAGCTTCTAGTCTAGCATGATGATTGTCGTCTCGACCGGTGAAAAGTGTGAGGCTTCTGCTCAAGTGTGGGATATTTTTGTAAGAGTCATGACGAAAATATGAGTCAAATCGTCCTTCTAGTAAAAATAATTATAGCTTTAGCTTGATGCTTTTTCCTGGAAATATTAAACTAAAATTGTATATTTTTGTGAAGAATTTTCAACATTTTTGTAGTTAGTCGGAACTGGGCCGTAGACGTTTTGATTTGGGATTACCACGCAAGATAGGCACGACGGCAAAAGTCACAGGTAGAATAAATGAAAAAATGAATGAAAAAGTACTGCATGTAGATACATATTGATTTATTGTGATTAATTTTAAGGAAAGTGATAAACCAGATTAGTTTTGATAGTGTTAATGTTTAACGAGTATCGGTGGTTTGCACAATGTTCAGTTGTCAATAATTAGGTTAAAAGAATAATGTGAAACCGATATTTATCAATAAATGTTATTTTGTTGTTACACAGGGACCAGCCCCTCCCACTTCACATTGTCTTCCTCAGCTGTACTTAGATAGAGCGTGGTTTAGAATAGTGTATTGTAAATATATTTTGTGCTAAGATAAAATGGAAAATGTAGTACTGTATTTTCTTACGTGCGCTCAGCCACGCTATTTTGTCAGACATAATCAGACGCCTTGAGTGTTCAGTAAGATTATGCTCGCCCCCCGCCAATTGTACACAGCGGAACTGGCGAAATCATTCTTCTAAAGTTGAATAAATTGTTGACAAATATTAAAAATTCCGTTTATTGGCCAAACCGCAGGGTGCGGGGTGCTGAACTAAAAGTGTGAGAAGTCCTCGTCGGGCGGCGCGGCCTCCGGGATGCTGGTGAGCAGCGACTTCCTCAGGTCGAACAGGCTCTTGTGCTCGTCGTCCAGGTCGGGCACGCGGGCCGGCCGCGGAATGCCCTCCTCGGACATGTTGGCGGTGAGGCCCCGCGAGGTGGTGACGGCCACGGCGTAGGCGGCGGCGTCCTGGCCTTCAGTGGCACGGTCGGCGGCCACCCTGGACCGCGAGGACATGTCCAGGTTGAGCGTGGAGCGCGCGGGGCACGGGGCGGCGGCGTACACGGCCGCCTCGCCGGTCATGTTCTCCAGCGTGCACGTGGCCGTCGTCCGCGTGGCGCGCGGCAAGCCGGAGGCGTCCTGCGCCAGGAACCCGGCCGCGCCGAGCACGGCGTCAGCGTAGCGCCCCGCGTCCTGGCCGGCCTGGGCGGCCGCGGAGGGGAACTCCACCGACCCGCCCTCCGAGAGCAGCCCCTTGCTGAACACCTTCATGACCTTCTCGCGCTGCGGCGCCGCGGCCTGGAATTCGGCCTTGGCCACGGCGTGCACGGCGTCGACGCGGGGCAGCGCGAGGGCGCTGCGGTGGTGCGACGGGTCGGGCCGGTCGGGCCGCGACTCCGGCCTCGGCTCCAGCGACAAGGACCGGCTGTCCTTGAGGCGGAGGCTGGGCACGACCAGGCCGGGGATCGGGAGGCCGTCGGTGGCGTTGGCGAGCTCCCTCAGCAGGAAGCGGGTGCCGCTGAAGCGCCGCACGAAGCTCAGCAGCGAGGACGACGGGTTGAGCACCGCGTTGTCCGAGACCGCGGCGTTGGGGGTGGCCGAGGCCGTGGGCGTGAGCGGCGCGGACGCTTCCGGGGTGTGGCTATCGTCCAGGCGAGGCGTTCGAGGGGCAGCTGGAGGCTGTGGGTCGTCGTCGCTTGGGGGCAGAGCCTGGCCACGTGGGTCCAGTGGACGTGGGTCCAGGGGACGGGGGTCCAGAGGTTGCACCGGCTCCTCTGGCTGTTGGAAATCCTGCATGAACATGGTCAAACACAATAAAGCGACGGAAAACGTGCTGAACTCCATGGCGTCGCAACACTGTCACACACCTCCTTGCCGCGACGCACCAGCTTCCAGTCGTCCTTGGCGTCGGCCAGCGAAAGGCCGCCGCTGCCCTCGGACACGGGCGCGGACATGGTGGTGCGGATGGCGCCCGCCCTCTGCGTGCGCACCGCCACGGACAACTCGTAGGCCAGGGACAGCGCGCGCCGCCCCTCCTTGGTCAGGGAGGCCAGCTCCGTGGAGGGCAGCGTGGCGGGCAGCGGGGGCAGCGAGTGCTGCGGCAGCGGCAGGAGGCGCGGGCAACGCGGGGTGGCGTTGGCGGGCATGGGGATGGGCTGGCCTAGAGGCTGGCCGTCGCCCAGCAGGTCCGCGCTGGAGCGGTCAGCCTCCATGTTGCGCCCCCGCACCTCGCCACAGGCCTCCAGGTTCATCTGCAGAGCAATTTTTAATGTTTGTTTTCCATAGAGCGGTTGCTGTGGTTTGAACCCGTGAATGAAACCGAGGGTACCTGCTCGCGGATCGGGTCCGTGCTGAGGTTGTCGAGCCAGCGCTTGACGCGCTCCTCCTTCTCGATCCTGGACGACACCACGCTCTCCACCACGGCGTCATCCGCAGCGCCCGGCTCCGCCTGCGGGTCCGCGTCCGCGTCCGCCTCCTGCGACGACCACCACGCCGAGCTGCAGACTGATTCCGAGAGTCGTTTTCGTCGCTCTGTCTCTCTCGCACCTATGGGACGTCCGGTATAAGTGCGAGAGAGACAGAGCGACGCAAACGACTCTCGGAATCAGTCTTCTGCCCTCCAAAGAGTAGCAAGCGGCGAATAACGTCGACGCCAGCCGGGAAGCTGACCTGCTCGTCCTCGTCGGCGTCCTCGGCGTCACGAAAAAACCAGCGGCTGAGGGTGGCGTGCGCGGCCAGGATGACGCAGCCCAGCGCGTAGACGCAGCCCAGCGCCAGCGTGGCCTGCAGCAGCAGCCAGGCGGTGCGCGGCGACAGCAGCGAGCGCGGCACCAGGCCGAGCAGGCCGTGCACGCCGACGACCAGCGCGCTCAGCGTCAGCACGGCCACCTCGTGCAGGCGCACGCTCGGCGCGTTGTCCCACACGTCCGTCACGATGCTCTCCAGGGAGGTGTAGTTGTAGGCGGGCGGCAGCAGCGCGCCGGCGGCCTCCTCGGAGGACATGTTGTCCCCCTGCGAGCAGAGGGTTGCCGAGGGTCGGTCGCAAGTCAGCGCGCTGACACGCTGTTTCCAACTCGGTGCCATTCATCCTCACCGAGTCCCCGATGAGCATGTCTTCATACTCCGTCGTCCCGATCGTCAAGGTGTCCACGTCCATTTTTGTTACCGTTTCGTTTCTCTTTTTCGTGAGGCCGCGCTAAAGGGATGAGACCGTCGTGTTCTGTTGGACGACTTGCATGTTGCGGTGACTTTAGGATTCCACTTTGAATTTAGAAAACATGTTTTTTGTGTTTTTGTTTTTTGTGCTTCCCCCTACATTCCGGCACGGGAAGTTGCCATGACTCGTCCAACAATGGTTTCGGCCGGGCCTGCCAACTGTGCGGGGCCCCCGCCCCGAACACATCGCGCCCGCCGGCCACACTGCTACACTGCTCACGGGCTTAGTTCGGCTTTTGTTTCCGCCAGTCACGCTGTGACCCAGGAAGTGGCGCGAAACGCGGAGGAAATGACGAATGACGCCACCGGTGTGGCCTTGGCGGCGCCACTGTGCGACTCAAATACTGAAACCACTGAAACACTGAACGCCGCGTGCGGTGGTGTGGCAGCACTGCCTTCCCGCACCGCCCCCTCGCACGCCGCGGCGCCAACCCTTCAGACTGGTTCCGAGAGTCGTTTTCGTCGCTCTGTCTCTCCCGCACGCATGCGGGACGCCCCATGAGTGCGAGAGAAACGGAGCGACGAAAACGACTCTCGGAATGAGTCTGCTGCGCACTGCTGCGCCGGCCGCGCGCCGCGGGGTAGTTGTTCCCGACCACGCCGCGCCGATAGACTCCCACGACGTACAGTCTCTCCTCCCTAGAAGGGGTCGCCCCGACCTCGGCGTCGCCCAGGCCGCCGCCCAGCCGATAGCCCGCCAAACTGCGCACCTCGCAGACTCGCGGGGGCACCGGGACACCGCGCGCCACGCGGCCCATCACGAGGAGTGCGGCCACGTCGGGCCACGTGGAGGTTAGGGGTTCGGCTGTTCGGCTTCGCGATTCGCAGTGGCGTGGGCCGGCGCCCGGCAACCAGGAGCAGCCAGCTGACATCGACAAGCGGGAAGCGCGACGTACTTACGGCCCGCGGACGACGGGCGGCATGTCCGCGCTGTGACGTGACACGGGCGGCAAGACAGCCTGGGAGGTAGGCCGCCCATCGGGCACCACTGTGCGCTCGGCGGCCTGGCGCTCAGGCGGCTGCGGCACGGCCGGCCGTCGGCTGTCGAGCGATTCAAAACAGCGGTTCGTCGCTGTGTCTCTCTCGCACACTTACGGAGTGCCCCATGAGTGCGAGAGAAACAGCGACGAAACTGGCTGGTCGCTGATTGCCGCAATCGCCTTGTCTAATTGCAGGAGTCATGAAGAGGCTTATCGCGTACATTGCGCGCCGGCCGCGGGTTTTCTTCAGGGGAGTTTCCGACTTGGCCAGGGGCAAGCGGGCTCGCGACAAGAGGGGGTTGTGCAGGTGCCAAAAGCAAAGACATGCAGACAGGAAAGTTTCTCCGAGTCGGCCCCCGCGGGCGCGCTCAGACCGTTACCGTGTGATTGCAGGCTGATCCCGCCGTGCTCGACGAGTATTTTTTGGCGCCTCGCCTGGCGGCGGTTCGAACACCCGCGAGGCCAGAGATGGCTGAAAACGGCCCCTACAGTGGTGGAGGAAGAAGTGCCTCAGGATGCAACTCGCGAGGCCAGCGTCGAGGAACCTGGAGCAGTCGGAAGAGACGCAAGCACGGAGGAACCTTCCGTGGTGGCAGAAAAGACGCAAGACGACAGCGACGCGGAGGTTGGAGCCGTCGGGGCAGACTCGGGTTCAGACGCGCACTGCGTGGCTGCCGAAGAACTTCCAGAGAGCAGTGCGCTTCAGTCTGCTCCCGACGCAATCTCGGAACTAGGGACACTCCCCCAGGGCGAGGATCAAGACCAGGACCCACCGACCAACAGTCCACAGGATGCTGATGAAGTCGCGCGAGACGAAGTCGAGGCTGATGTTGCCATGCCGTCGTCTAGCTCGGAGCAGGTCGACCGCGCGGCTTCGGCCTCCGCCTGCCGCAGCCCCGCGCTGAGCCCTCGCAGCAGCAGGACGGAGGTCTTTGACGAGGCCGGGGCTGCGACTGAACCAGCCGGCAGGGCTCGCTCCGTCAGCACCCACCAGCAGGGCCAGCAGGGCCAGCAGGGCCAGTGGCACGTACGTGGCCTCGACGCTGTCCTTGGCGTCCGCGGCGAGCCTGCCGCCCAGCACGCGCAGTGAGGGCTTCGCGTCCACGCTGTCGGTGTGCACGGCCAGCAGCGCGCCGCAGCCAGCGCGCCGCCGGTCGCTGCTGCCTTTGCGGATCGGCGCGCCGCCGCCCTCCCTGGCCAGGGCCACGCCTGCGGACTCCATCATGTCCTCCAGGTGAGGCTCAGGATTTCTCCACAAAGTCCGCCCCTTGACCGCGCTCTAAATGGATTGGTCTTCAGGCTGTCCCTGCCCTCGCTGAGGTCCAACGCGTCCCCCGTGCGGCCGCGGAGCTCCCTGTCACTGCGCGCCGAGGCACGCCGTTCTGCCGAGCACGTAGCCGTCAACGCCGCCATCCCCGGAATCCGACAGCCCGCCCGCCTGCGGCCACCCGTGGGGCCGAGACCGCCGGTCAGATAAAAATGCCCATTCAAACCTGCCGCGATGCGATGTGCACCCATTGGCCGCGATTCGCAGAAGTGATTCTCGTTTTTATAGACCCACGGCGGTGGCGACGTGCTTCCCTCCGCGGCGACCCCCGTGCCCGCGGCCCTGCCGGGCACGCCCGGCCCGGCGGAGTCCGGCGACGCGGAGTCCTTGGCCTCGCGGCGGGGGTTGGGCCCTCCCACCGCCTCCTCGCCGTCCGCCTCTCGCGGTGCCGGCCACAGCACTGCAAGTGTCGGAAGCGCCGCGCCCTCGCCGTCGACGCCTCTCACGGACCGCGTGGCGCGCTCCTCGGCGCGGCTGCACTTCATGAAGACGGCCTGCAAGGCGGGCGCCGCGAGCACCGAGTGCGCGGCCGGCGCCGGCCTCCACGGCGCGGACGTCGGCCAGGCGCGCCGCGAGAAGCTGGACCGCCTCCTCTACGGCGACGTAATCGAAGCAACACGACGTGATGCTCGCGGTCCTGCTGACCGAACAGTGCTTTCGTCGCTGTCTCTCTCGCACTCATGGGGTGGTCCTTAGGGGGCGACAGAGACAGAGCGACGAAGCAGTGGTCGGAATCAACCTGCTGTGCTGTTGCTCCAGATGCCGGTGTGGCTGGCGGTGGACCCCGTGGCGGTGGTGCTGGGCGTGTGCTGCCCCGGCCTGTCCTACACGACGGGCTTCGTGGTCTCCAACCGCGGCCGCGTCGCCGTCTCGCTGGTCGTGTCGGCGCCGCGCGAGCTGCGGAGGCACGTCGCCGTCAAGCCCGGCGCGCTCAGGCTGCGGCCCGGCGAGCGCCGCCGCGTGCAGCTGCACCTGTGCGCCAGGTGCGTGGTGCCTTACCGCCGCCTAATCACGCGGTGCAGCAGCAGACTCATTCCGAGAGTCGTTACTGTCACTCTGTCTCTCTCGCACTCACAGAGCGTCCCGTATGACTGCGAGAGAGACAGAGCGACGAGAACGACTCTCGGAATCAGTCTGCAGCCAGACCAGCCAGACGGGCAGCTCGTCAAGGAGTGCCCGTGGTGGCCGCTGCACGTTCATTCCGAGGCGGATCGGGACTTCCCCGCTCTGCCTCTCTCGCACTCGTGGACTCTTCGCGCGGCTGGTGCGAGTGCGAGAGAGACAGAGCGACGAAGCCGTTTGGGAATGAAGCCTGCTGCCACGCGGCCCTGCTTTCCCTTCACAGACAGTCCTTCTCCCGTGATGCACAGAGGTTCACCTGCCGGCTGTCGAGGGTCACGCAGTTCGGCGTGCAGGTGGCCCCGCTCACCAAGGCCGTGCGCGGCCTCGGTGGACATGGCGTGCTCTGCGTGCAGGTACAGGAGGATACGCACAGTGAGCCAGAAGACCGGTGGAGGCAGCCCGCGCGTTTTGAGTTCCAGAGTCGCTGATTGGGACTAGAACCGAAGGCGTGACCCCACCTATACATTGCTTTCGGATGAGGAATCCATTGATGGGGCAACACGTTCGGTTCGAGTGCGTCTTGGGTTTTGACCGCCTCCACCGGTCTTTTCTGGCCCACTGTGACACGATCGCCGGCTCGGCAAAGACAGTGTGGTTACGTGTCGGAGTGATTGGAACGCCTTGTGTTGGAGGTGCTGGTCGCTGTGTCGCCCCCCGCGCTGGAGATACGCCCCGCCAATCTGCAGCTCGGCCACGTGCTCTCCGGCGTGAGCACGGCCACGGCCTCGTTGAAGCTCGCCAACCGCTCTCTCATGGCGCAGGAGTACGGCTTCGTCAACATTCCCGAGGTGCGCGTCGACTCCTCCGAAGTTTTAACAAAAGCAATATGTGATGGACTTGAGCCATGATAATCTGGGCCTTTCCGGCTTGCAGGACGTCCGCGTCGAGCCTGGCGGAGGCTTCGGCAAGCTGCGGCCCGGCGAAGTGGTGGACCTGAAGGTTGTCTACAGCCCGGTCGGCGCCGAGGGCCGCCGTGAGTTCCTCCTTGACGTAGACACGGTCCTAGGGCTGGCGGCGCGGTCGGCTCGCCTCCACGGCCGCCGGTCCAAGAGCAAGACCAGCATGGCGTCCTCCGCCTGCTCCGTGCAGGTCACCGCCGACGTCCTGGTGCCCAGGCTGCAGCTTTCGGCGCACCGGGTGACCTTCCCGACGACGTCTGTCGGCGCGCACGCCACCGCCGACATCACCATGGTGAACATCTAAAGGAGCGCCACGCCGCGACCGCCATGACTGAGTCACTGAAGTTCTCTCTGCCGTGCTCGATGTGCGTAGACCTGCGCCGCCGCCGAGGCCCAGTTCTCCTTCGAGTCCCCCGACTACCTGCAAGTCATCCCTCCGGCCGGCTCGCTCGTTCGCGGCCAGGTACGCCGTGAGGCAGGCATCCCAACGCACTCCACCTGCGGCGCGACCATTACCATTACCACTACGGGCTAGGCCACACATGATCGTATGCCGTTTCGGGCCCGACACAAGCTCGCCACACTCTGCCGGCTCGGCCCGCCCGGCCCGGCCCGGCCCGCACCACCGCAGGCCACGCAACTCAGCAGTTTGTCAACTAATGCGACGAATCTTCCTTGTTGCGTTGCTATTTTAGTGCCTCAGAGTGGTGCTGCTGTTCCTGCCGCGACCCGGCGACTCTGACGCACAGGTGGGCTTCCTCATGGCCAGACGCCGCGACCAAACAACAACAAAACCAGCCCTCCCCATGTCCTCAACAAATTGTTGTTGTTTCCAGGACGACTACGGCGAGACGCGGGAAGTCAGCATCGTTTGCGAGGCGGAGACTAGGCTCGCCGAACACGACCAATGGTGGGAGCAAATGCTACACTGGTGAATCAAAGGCATTAAAATTTTGCCCATTAAGGGCGTAAACGACGTCAGTTCACGAAGCTTGCCAAAAGTGGATCATCCCCCCCCTTTCTCGTGACTTCCCTGCACTCGTTCGCAGACCCGATAGTTGTGCTTTGTTTACACACTTTCTGATTCCGATAATCGGTGCCGCGCAGTTCCCGTCCGTCACTTTTTTCGCCTCTGTGCGGTGCCGGCGCCGCCCCGCCGCTCGTGCAAAATAAACATTGGCACACGGGTCACTGGCGCCCCTACGGCGGCCCGGCGGCGGCCGCGGCGGTAGGGCCGCGGCGCTGCATTGCCTGGCATTGCCGCCACCGACGTCATCGTGACGTATCTCCAGGAGACGTCACGCCGCGATCCGTAACGGCAGTCGGTCGGCAGTGTCAACTCTTGGATAACCCCGCGTGCGTTGTGCCGTCTGCCCCCCCCCCCTCTTTTTCCCCGGCGACCGGTCCACTAAAGCATTATGCACGTTCAATCACACTTTTTGTCCCCGCCGAATGGGACCAGAGTCCGCAACACGCACTCTCTTTCATCCGCACCAGGGTGGATCAGTTTTGACCTACCTCTCACTGAGTTCTACCCACTAGAAACAAGGAATAGATATAGAAATATCTCGATTCATTATTTCTATTGGGTAATTTACATGAGGGGTAGGTCAACTCATAGACACCCATCCGCAGGCGACGGGAGTCGATCCCGGTGCTGGCGCAGTGCCGCGCGGAGCCCGCCTCGCTGCTCCCCGTGTCGCAGGCCGTGGCGTTCGACGCCGTGGCCGTGGGCTGCAGTGCGAGTCGCGACGTGGTCCTGGACAACGCGTCGGCGTCCTGGCTGCGCGTGCAGCCCGCGCCGCTCCAGGACGTCCAGGACGCCTTCTCCTGGCCGGTGGCACCGGTGTGCCTGCCCCCCGGCCACCAGATGAGGCTGACGGTCACCTTCGCCCCGACGCGCGAGCAGAGCGAGGCACGTAAGGGTATTTCTCTCCCCTATCTCTGATCACGAGAATGCGTGTTCGAGTTCAAGTCCCGGCATTTCAGTTTGTTTTCCTGGCGCGACTTTTGCAAGCGAAAATGGGGGGCATTAATGATCTGCTGCGGTGTGGAATGTGGAATGTGGGGTCGCGACAGAGGCACTGCACTGCCCCGTCGTCATGGCAACCCTCGTCCCTCTCGCCACCACCCCGAGCTCCTCGGGCAGGGGCGGGCGTCCGTCGGCATGAAGCCGAACGGGCGGAGGACCGTGCGCGTGCCGCCGCCGCAGACGTCCGAGATGGTGCTGAGCGCCGTGCGCCACCTCGTCAGCTCGGAGGAGGGCGCGGGGGCGGCGGGCGCGCGGCCCAAGGACGTGGTGCGCTACATCCGGCGGGTGTACCACGTGCGCGCGCCCTGGGTCAAGAGGGATGTGAGCAGTGCCCTGCGCTGGGCCGTCGAGTTCGGCCTGGTGCACCGGCCCAAGAGGGGCGTGTACGTCCCCGTCGCGGACGCCGCGGACGCCGTGCAAGAGGACGCCCTACACGACGTCGGCGCCGAGGCGGCGCGCCGGGACCACCTGCTGCGCCGCGCCGTGGACAACTTCCGCATGGCCGGGATGGCGGCACGCCTGAGGGCGGCCGCGTTGGAGACGCAGCACCGCGACGACGGCGCGGGCCCTTCCGGAGTGCACTTCCGCAACGTGTACGACGACGACCTGCCCCCCGAGGTCGAGCTCGACGCGGAGGACGACGTGGCCCTCGACGACGGCGGCTCCTGCAGCTGACCGTCACGTGTGTGTCCGTGGTCGCGGACAGGGTCTGGGCCGCAGTGGGAGACTGATCGCTACCCTGCTGCAGCAGGTGGTGCGGGTGCTGCGGCTGCAGTACGAGGCCGACGACGTCGCCGCCGGCGCGGCCTCCGTACGGCTGAGCGGCACCGCGGTGGAGGCGCAGTACCGCGTCGTGCCGGACGCCAGGGCGGTGAGGCTGAGCGCGCGCCGGCGGCCGCGCCGGCAGCAAGGCGGCATCGCGGCGCCGGACCGGCCCGACGTGGCCACCATCCAGGTGAGCGGCGTGAGCGTCGGGAGGGAACCAACGGCCAGCGTGAGGACCCAATGAGCACCGACTCGATGTTCGCAGATACGCAACACCTGCTCCGCCGCCCTGGACATGACCGTCGCCAGCCTGGCCGAGTTCGACCTGGGGCCTCGCGTCGGGACCCACGGCCTCCACGACGAGGAGGGCGCTTCCACCGCGGAGTCCTCGGTCGCGCCCAAGCTGTCCAAGGCCATGACCTTGTCGGAGCAGGCCGCCGTGCGGCGCTGCGAGGCCCTGGTGCCGCTGGGCGGGGCCGTGCACTGCTTCGTCGTGGTGCCGGAGCCCGGCCGCGTAGTCTCGGTGGCGCCAGGGGAGCAGCTCTGCCTCGGCGTGCGCTTCGCACCGCCCTCCTTCTCCAGGCAGTACTTGGCCGTCCTGGAGCTGCGCCTCGGTGGCGGCAGCAACGCCAGCAACGCCTGCACTGCCCGGCGGTTCACGTGTTTTGGAAACCTCAGCCCCTTGCAAGAGCAGCAGACCGGTACGCTGGACGCCTTGGACCAGCCCGGCCCTCCCGGCCCCGGCACGAGCTGTTGTTCCTTGCCAAAATAAAGGACCGCTCAGCATGTCTTTGCACTGCATACTCCCAGTCCCGAACAGCAAAATTGAATAGTGCTTGTGGTTTACTCAATATTAGTTGAGCATGTTCTATACATCAGTTAGGCACTGCCTTCTCCTCTCATAAAGAAAAATAAGGGCTGAAAAAACAAACAACAATAAGACATTACAATATTTTTTTAAACAAATAATTTTATTTAACTCTTGATGACAAAACAATGTACAAATATACAAAACAAGAAAGAAGAGACATGTGTAATTGCAATTGATTTTAAAATAAAAATGATGACAGTCCAAGTATTTTTCTACTGGTGGGATCACAGATAATTTGAAAAAAAAAAGGAAAACAAATTGTTTAAAACAATTAAAAAACAAACAAAACAACCATTCTCAATTATACGTGCTAAAACACTGATAGAGGGAAACAACTTTCAGACAGGCTTAAATTAATTGATGTCTTTATATAAACACAATGGAATGGCTGTTGTGAATTGATTCAGTCGTACAGACAGACATAATTAATAAATCATATACATATATACATTTTGGAGAGAGATCAGGAACCAGGTACATTCATCTTACTTAATCTTAAAATGAAATCTAGTAAGAACATTTGAACTTTAATCTCAGAACTATTCATGGTAACAAAAAAGCCTGGAAAACCAGCCTGCTGAAGAGTTTCTTGCTGTTCAGCAACCTGAAAATTTCAAAACAATAATTTTTACTTCATATTAGACGCTCAAACAAAGTAAAATAACTATGGTCAAACGATCTTGCCTTTGTATCAAGTTGTTTCACTAATTTCATGTCAACGTCAACAAGCTGTTTCCTGTGTTTGGCAGCCATCGCAGCACGGATAGTGTCATGTTCATAAATGGATGCTCCTTCTAATGCCTTTGTGGTTTCCGCTATTTAAAAAACAATGTGCGCATTGGATGTCGTGTAGCCACAAAAGGTTCCTGGCCAAATAAAATTCACACACACTTACCTTGCTGTTTATTTGTAACTTTTAGTCTCAAATGAATGAGGTATTTCTCAGTTACATGCTGAATATCCATCAAACCTTTGACTATTTCAAAGTTGATACTGTTTGTTAAACATTGTGCCAAGTTAGAGCAAAGCTCTGGAGAAATTTTTTTCTGATACTTCCTGTAAAATGAAAAATTGATATCACATGTTGTAAAATCTGATGGTGAGTTCTAAAGAATTCAATTTCAAAGACAATGCTGTCAGAAATAGACAATACTTGGGAATCTCTGAAAGCATAGTGTTTAGCTTTTCCAAAAAGAAGGCGTATTTGACTCCATCTTCGTCTGACACCAAAGGAGCTTCTGCTGTCACTTCTTCGGAGATTTCCATTTTGTTTGAAAGAGCAACGACCATTTTTCACAAAGTTGACATACTTTCAGGTGTAGAACATAACCAACTTTCGTAATGTTTTGATGTTTTGGTCTAGATTTAAGGTGACATGTCTCTGCCGATAACGTGGCCGACTGTGGGGTCTTATTTGCACGCCTGCTTCTCATTGGTTCTCCACAGCTCACTCCCAGCCAATGGCAGGAGGCGCGGCATGGCGCTGTGTTTGAATGGACCGCGCTTCTGGCAATCGGTCTGTTGTCCACTCACCGACCGAAGGCTTCCCTGCTAAATGGTTGTTCGGCACCGTCGGCCTTTCAAACAGTCAGTAGGGTGTCAGTGGGCGAATGTCAATTTCTTTCTGACGGAAGGCCCGGCTTTTTGCTGAAATGCCGCCTGGAAAGGTTAAAGACCTTGTTTACTGCGGAACATTCCGCCGTGCCGTGCCGAGCCGAGCCGTGCCGTCCCAACAAGCAACCAATTTGTCCCGACCCGAGTGAGTACTACATGGTGGATCGCGCGCCCTGCCTGCCACTTTCGCCTGGCAAACGAATTGCAGAGACGAGAGCGCCGGCGGCAGACATCTCTCCGTTGCAGCCGTTAACCTATCCGCTGCCCCTTTCAGTGTGCGACCGCCAGAACCGCCAGACGATAGGCCCGCCACTATATTGGAGCGAATCAAAGCAGTGGTGGCGGCGGCCCCCACGGTGTGGCTGCCGAATCAGTCGACCAACGGTCCCGTAATAATGCCTTGATTACCGCCAATTAGACTATCGAGCAGACATCAGTATTTCGCGGTGGCGTAGACGGGGAGCGCGGAGTCAATCTAACGAGTTTCTCATGCTCAAGCGAAGATTTGCTTCGGCCGGTCACACGCCACTTTGCGGACCCAAAGGCAAACCGCAAGCAGAGCATATTTCTGTTTACCTCTTTTCTGTAATCAACGCCGAATTGGGTCGATAAGTGATGACTTCGTGGACCCGATCGCCTTTTTTTGGCGACTTTTGCCGAAGTCATGTTTGGTTCTATCACCCACTCAACGGTGCAAAAAACTTGCACCACCCCCGTAGTCATGCTACAATGTCAAACTTTTATCAGAACACTGTGTGGCTACCGCTGTACCATACGTCAGAAAAAGTGCTTCAAAAATTTAAAATTAATTTCCGTCTCATGCAGTGAAGTACTCCTTTATCTGGCTTAGAGTCCATAGGGCGTTTGTTCGGCAACACGCTACTTTGTCAGAACTAAAACCCTGTACAGTCAGCACTGATAATATCGTCTTCCATGGCTTCGAGAAAAAAAATGAGACAAAGCGATAGTGACAGAGGAAAATCATGCATGGGACACCAAAAACCGAAAATGGTGATAAGACGATTTTTTTGTGTGTTCAGCCCGAGGGGTGCAACTGTCCCCACCTCATCACACAGCGGGCCGCGCGTGTGCACCTATATGCGTTGTAGCCCGAGGGAAGTCCGCGCCAGCGAGCCGTTACATCCGATTCAGAGAAGATCGACCAGATTACGAGCAACGGCATAAAATGGACCCCGAGCAGTAGGAATCACGATATAGGAAAGCCCCGAGCGTGCGACTTACTCCGTTGTTTGTTTGTTTTGCGCCTTTTCCTGGGCGCGTGCCGTACGGGCCGAGCGCAGCGTCATTTCCCTTATTTTCTGTGTCAACGTTTCTCTTTTCGGCGCGTGGCAAAATACGCTTCAAGAAGGAGGTAATTCAACCTGCGGCGCCGCGAGGCTGCGCGACGCACCAGGACCAGGCTGTTGGAGTCGGGAGGTCGACCATTTGAAATTCGTTTGTCCTCGCGCGCTGCGGCGCGGTTCCGAACATCGTCGCTCTGTCTCTCTCGCACTCACGGGCACCGCGTGGCACACGCCCCTTGAGGCTTTCAGAGTCAAGGAAGGCGAGGCGCGTTTTGGCAAGTCAAGTAGTGCTAGGCCGAGCCAAGGGCCGAGCTAGCAGGCCTATCGCGGCCCGGGCATCGGCATGGCGTTGTCAAGGAAAGCTCAGAACAACGACCCAGTGCCTAGCCCAGCCCAGTCTGGTTCACCCCAGCGGGAAAAAATACTAAAAAAAATCTGCAATTTTGCAAACACGAACCTTAAGGTGTTGCGCAGAAAAACTACGTTCCTGCAATGATTGCACCATTTCCTTTTTATTATGTGAAATTTCCTCGAAACACACCCGAGCGAACTACGGTGGACTCTCCTGAATTTTTGCCGAAACGGGAAGTAACCCCCGCCAAATTTGTACACCAAAATTCATCAACCTTGTAAAATTTAATAAAATTCATTGAAATTCATCAAAATTTGTTAAAATTCTTCTCAAAATTCAAAGGATTTTGCCTGAAATTCATTAAAATTCAACTGAAATTCATTGAATTTGTATACTGAAATTCACAGTGATTTCCCCTTGGGAAGATGTTAATGAAGTGTGCATTGTTTAAATTGAAGTGGTTTGCCGCTCGGGGTGCTGCCTGTGACTGCAGCGACAGTGGGTCGCCAGCTGACTCAGGCTGAGTCACGAGGCGTGGGGCCCACCGGGACCCATCCCGCCCATGGGGGTTTGATTGTCCATCATGTAGTGTAGGCCCAGGGCAGACCAGGGCGCGATTCTTTATCGCGAAGCGTCTCGCCACAAAAACCGCCGTGCAGCGAAGCAGCGCCCGTGCACGCTGCCGTGCGCACACTGCCGAAAAGGAGGCACTTTGTTCTGCGGCACACCTGCGTCGTAGACCAAGCAGTTCAACGTATGAATCATCGTGTCGACACCAAAAACACTTCTTTTTTAGGTGATAAAATTACGGGGGGGGGAATCTATGGCGCACAGCGGGTCAATTTATCCTTCTCAAGATTTATTTTCCAGTGGAGCATGGTCTAGAAGCCACGACCACGAGGTGACGCCTTGGCGACGTCGCCATGGTGCCCCTGCCAAACCAAACCAAGCTCTGCTCGCCGCCTGGCTTCGGCCTGGCCGCACCCCGATGCCCTGCCTAGCAACAGTTCGGCACTCTCGCAGCGAAAAATGGCTCTCCTCGACCGCCGTTTCGGAGTAAAGTCTAAGACGATTTCAGCATTTGCGGCGCGAAGCGTTTGACCCGCGTGCCCGACATGTGCTCTACTGAGGCATGACGGACGGGTGGGTGCACTTGCAGTGCAGTGCATCACCGAGTCCGCACGAGGCATCGCACGTGTTTGACCCTACCCGTCAGAGATTTAGCACTCCACCCACTGCAAAAGTGATGTGAAAAAGCATTGTTTCCGCCTGCAAGTGGGAACAGTCAGGGCTTCGGCGTGCAGCTCACTGTGTGACGGTGTGACCCGGGTCGACTCGGCTGGCGGGGGCGAGGGCGAGGCGGGGGCGCGGGCGGGGCAGGCGGGGCGGGTGGCCTGGTGAAGGGTGGCGATACGCGGGGCACCGACCCGCGACAAAGAGCAGCTATTCCCTTCCGGCACCGAAATAGACCCCACCTGCTGCACGCCCGCCATGACGTGTCCGCGCGTTTGTCCAATTTGACGGTGGTGTGGCGGCCCTTCGCAGAACGGAACTCCGCCCCGCCCCGCCCCGCCCCGCCCCGCCCCGCCGCGCGCTCCAGGGTGGCTGAACTCGGGAATGCACCACGCGGCACCGCGCGCGCCGATGACCCCTTCAACCGCGTCTTTCTGGGAAGCCGCTCCGAACCCGTTTAGTCATTTTGGGTTCGGTGCGGCTGGCTGGCTGGCTGGCAGAGTGGCCGCGAACCCCTGCGAGCTAGCCGATGCCGAGATGCAGCAGCAGACTCATTCCGAGAGTCGTTGTCGCCGCTCTGTCTCTCTCGCACCTACACGGGACGCCTCCTGAGTGCGAGGGAGACAGAGCGACGAAAACGACTCTCGGAATGAGTCTGCAGACCGCGGCCGTGCGTGGACGGCGTGGACGCAGATGGCGGCGGCGCGGCCCGCTACCCAGAAAGACACTATCGCCGACGAGGGAATGCAGAATCCGATCGTCTCGCCGCGTTTCGCGTTGCGGCGGCCGGATTAAAAATGAGTGTGCTCTAATTGGGGCGCTCTGTCTCTCTCGCGCGCCAACGGGACGCGCCGCGGACCGCGATCGAGCCGCGAGTGCGAGAGAATGCGCCAGCATCATCAGGTGACCGTTGTGGGGTGGCCGCGCCGCCGGCCGGGGGTGCGGTCGCGGGGCGGGGCGGGGCGACTGTGGGACCAGCAAGTGCCACGGGGCCAGATAGAACCGCCTTCGCGCCACCAATGAGGGGCTTGTCATCACGGCAATTAATCGGCCCGCAGAGCCATTCCGAAAAACGCTTTCGTTTCTCTGTCTCTCTCTCGCGCTCATGGGGCTCATGGGGAGAGAGACAGCGCGACGAAACGTCGTGTGCGGAATTAGTCCGCAGCTAAACAGCGCGAGAAGAATGGCGCGGAACATTCGGGCAATTTCTCCACTAGCTGCGCGCCTTTTCTAGACTCCAAGTGGAAGCTCTGTGGAAAAGTGGAGTCTTGACCGAATCTGTCGCAAATGACTTATTGTCTTCGCTTCTAAACTAAGCGGGCATGCAGACGGAGAGCCCGAAGCGGTCCACTCCACTCACTGCCCCCTAGGTGGGGTGCGATTGCCCTGTTCAGATTTGACTCGTTGACCCCTCAAAATCAACCCTTTCCCGCTGTTTTATTGGTTGTTGTTCACTATTTCAACCAAGCTTGACTGCGCCCCCACTGCTCGGAAGCGCAGTGACGTGCATGGCGCACGGGAAATGGCCCTATTTTCACTTTCAGCTTTGAGCGCGAAGCGGTTATCACCACGATACGCCTTCCCTGGCTCGGCTCGGCTCGGCTTCGCGTCGCGCGTCACTCGGCCGCCCTTGATCCTGAAACCTGACCCCTCCTCTAATCTGAGAAAGAAATTTTTAATTTCTTGGAGCCGGTCGCCCGATTTTGCACCCTTATGGAACGCCCCGTGAGTGCGACAGAGACAGAGCGACGAAAACGACTCTTCAGAATCTACGTTTCGGCTCAGATCGGCAGGGGCGGCGTGCTGACGTGACGCACACACTCAGCTGGCTGTACTTCGCACCCACCCACTGCAACGCGTCGAGCGGGACGCCCCACAGTGGATTTGCCAGAAGACCGGTGGAGGCGCCCCACCGCGCCATTCACGAATCGATCGCATTATTATTTTGCAATTAAAACGGTGGGCGGGGTGATTGAAAAAATGCGCAGAGAGAAGCATAGCGACACCGGCCGGTCGGTATCTTTACGACTCGATACGGAGGCATCAATAAATCGCCTCGGTGTTTACGTACTTCCCTCCCTGGCAAATACTTGGCCCTAAGCCGCTGCACTGCCCATTGATGCCATTGACAGAGGCCGTTTTACGGTGGAGGCTCGCCTCGCCGCGGACGACCAATGGGCGGCCGCGATTCGCTTGGCCGTGCATCGCGCACCGCCCCGAAGCGTGTTCGGGACGGAAGCGGCCGTGGTCTGCAGTGTGTGTGTGTGTGTGTGTGTGAGAGAGAGAGAGAGAGAGAGAGAGAGAGAGAGAGAGAGAGAGAGAGAGAGAGAGAGCGTGCCCCCTCTCCCCAGCTGCAATAATACGTCCGGCCGCTTTTCGTCAACAACACCTGCGGACCACGTGAAGGGGTTAGTCACATGCGTTTTGCTTCGCGTTGCTTTCTCTGCGTGTCGGGGGTTGCACTCACACACGCACTCACACACTCACGCACGCACTCACACCCAGTCGCACTCACACCCACTCACACTGTCGGGCGGTAGCACACTCACGTTTTGCAGCCCGCGGCCCCTAAACAAGTCATGAGACGCGTCGCTCTGGTTCTTGCAAAACACTGCCTCTAGGGTTTTGCTGACTGACTAAGACTGACTGTCTGTCTGACACAGGCTCGATGATTCGTGCGTTTTAGCGCTGCGGCTCTATCTTCACCTGTCTGTAGTAAGCCGAAGCTGGTGGATGACGGATATGACTCGCACCGACTATTCAAGCCATTTTATGTTTTCCCGCAAGAACAAACCCTTGGTTGTGAAATACCACACTGGTACAACTGAAGCGTATACTTCTACGCCTTTCTTCAAGCGTAGTTCTCCATTTCGTCCCTCTCCCACCTATCTAAATTTGAATCTGATTTTCATCGTCAAGCGTAGAGTCTTCAAGTAGTTGTATGCTTGAATGAAGAATAAAACTGCGCTTCAGTTTTACCAGTGCGCCGCGTTAGATTTTCCAGATTTCTTTTGCTTTCCGCACACAACTTCGTGTCCCCTGCCTGCAGCCCCTCCTGTGCCGCTCCTGCCGGCCGGCCTGAGCGTGACCTGAGTTGAGTTCAGGCAGGCCGACAGCCTCCGTCGGGGACGTGACAGCAGTCAGGTATGCCCACGGACCAAGTGCCGAACTTAACCAAGTTTTCTGAGCCGTAACAAGCTGGACGGAATGTCGAGACGAGGTTTTCCGAGAGTCGACTGCAGCCGTCATCTCCACCAGTGGCGTGCGCAGAAATTTTGAAAAGGGAGGGGGGAATCGGGCCATGCTTTTTGCCTGCTTACAGGGGGATTGTGACGCAATTTGCCTACCTTACAGGTGGCTGTCAAGAGGCCAAAAGGGGGGAGGGGGTCATGACCCCCCCCCCTCCCGCACGCCGCTGATCCCCACACGTCAAAACGTGGAAGTGAAGTGAAAGTGCGGCGGGTTGGACCACGGGTGAGGCAGGGTTGGACCACGGGTGAGGCAGGGTTGGACCACGGGTGAGGCAGGGTTGGACCACGGGTGAGGCAGGGTTGGACCACGGGTGAGGCAGGGTTGGGCCACGGGTGAGGCAGGGTTGGACCACGGGTGAGGCAGGGTTGGGCCACGGGTGAGGCAGGGTTGGGCCACGGGTGAGGCAGGGTTGGACCACGGGTGAGGCAGGGTTGGACCACGGGTGAGGCAGGGTTGGACCACGGGTGAGGCAGGCGGCAGGCGCTGTTGGCGTGTCGCTGGCTATCACCGCGGTGCGTGGGGGCGTGGGGCCCGAAGTGAAGCTATCGGGGCAGGCCCGGCAGGCCCGGCAGGCCGTGCTGATCGGGAGGGAGAGATGCGTGCCGGGCCGGGCGGGCCGCCTTGGCGGGGATCTGCTTGAGCCCTCGGCGCCGGCTCCGCTCACGCCGCGACCGATACACACGAGAAACACGCAGCTAGATAATACGCCTCATCTGCATTCCCCGCGATGGGACGCGATGGGCCCGATGGGCCGATTGCCGCGTGGCGTGGCGGCGTGGCGTGGCGGCGACCCTGAGGGCCACGTCGAAGGCCACGCGCCAATGAGTGTTACTGCCGAGCGCGCCGCACTTTTCTGTGAATCATTTTCGGTTTTCGGTTTCGAAACGACTGCGCCGCGTGCATCGTCGCGCAGTGCAGATGGCGTCCCCGATTGGAGATGGCCGGGGTCACCACCACAGTCACTACAGTCGCGGATCGCCAGCTGTGCCGCCTTAACTCGGTCGGCTTCGACGAGCGAGACGGCGAGCGAGGCTAGCCGCGTGACCGGATGGATGCCAATTGGCTCTTATCCTGTTCTTTTTATTCCTCTTGTTTTTGTTTTTCAATAAAGTGCATCTTTTTTTTTTCTTTTCTTTTTTTGGGTATGTAGTCGAGTTTTTCTTTTAATACTCTGATTATTCTCTGTTCAGTCGCCTCTTTGTATTGAGTAGACAGGGGGTTAAAAAAGAAGAACGTTGGGTTTAATTGTTCTACAGAATTTGTTTTATTATTCTGCATACGTCATTGTCAAATTTTACTTACAAAGGTATGAAAAAAAATGTCATAGAATTTCATGGATATGAATTAACTTAATACTGATGAGAAAATGCTCGTTTGTACAAAAACACACACAATCACAAAAATACACAATTGGCAAGAAAATAAATACGTATTGGCTCGTGATACAAATGTATAGGAACGTAGTTCAGGCACGAGTGACCGTTGTCCCTCTCATTAAATACAACATTAAAAATAGCTCAGTTTTGCGCGTTGGCTCTCATTCTCAGTCCTTTACCAACATCCTATGGCACGCATCAGTGACGAGATCAGTACGAGTTTTAAGTAGATAAAAGATAAAGTAGTCTCAGATTTAGTTGGAGAGCTTTTGGAGAGGCCAAGGATATCAAGGAGAACCAACAGTAGATTAGCGCAACGCCCAAAAAATACAAAGCCGATTGGGGAAGTAATAAGACAATGCTTTTTCTTTTAATGCGGTCGCTAGCCATTCACGACTTTCTATGAAACGAGAAAGCTCGGTGGAGTGTCACAAAAAGATCAAGAAAAGATTGCTTAAAACAAACATTTTTTTTTTGCACGGCGTGCACGGAGTGATGAATCCTCTGCACTATCAGCTACAGGACAAGAGCAGGTGCAAAAACTTAAGGGGGGGCTATCGGCTTCATTCACCCTCGTGGCGAGGTGACAGGGCAAGATCATACACCTTCTAAGAAAAAACGAAATACAAAATGACGCTGCGAACGAGGTGGCTGTCGAATCCGCTCGCGTCGTCGGGACTAGATTGGCATATCACTTTGACGGCGAGTCTGTCCAGCGGTCGATTCCTTGACGGGACGTCGAGGACGCGTGGACGCGCTGCACCGCGGCACCGCGGCAGCGGCAGGCCGGCCGGGCTGGGCTGGTCCAACTGGGCTGGTCCAACTGAGCTGGGCCGTTGCCACCCAGAGTCCGCGAACTCTGGCCCGGCCCCCGGCCCCAAGTCCCCGGCCGCAGGGCAGCGGGGCGCTGGGCGGGGCGGCCGCCAGACCGCAGAGAATACTGATGTGGTAGAGACGTGGCGTCGGGCCGGCGGGCCGGGCCTAGAACACCTTGATCCTCTTGACGGACTCCTTGGGCGACACGCAGGGCGACTCCAGCGGCCGCCCCTTCCTCTCGGCCAGGCTGCTGGCCAGGCTGCTGGCGGACACCGGCACCCAGCCGTTCTGCTCGCTGAACACGAAGGCGGTGGCGGCCGTCTTGGGCCTCTTGGGGGACTCGAGCTTGTGGAAGGACACGGTGGTGGTGGTGAGCTCCACGCTGCTGGCCGAGCAGGCGTCCGAGTCGCTCGAGTCGCCGGCCGCGCTGGCGGAGCGCTCGACGTGCGCGCGGAACTCCTCGCACACCACCATGCGGCGCGCCGTGGAGCCGAAGCGCGACAGCCAGGTGGACAGGCGCAGGCAGTCCTCGGCGAACACGGGGCTCACGTCGCGCAGCGTGGCGCCGCGCTGCTGCTCGAACACCAGCACCAGGACGTGCATGGAGTTGCGGCGGCAGCACGGCGGCCGGTACGGCGTGCACACGGACCCGGCGGAGATGTCACCGCGAGCGAAGGCGGCGCCCTGCAACAACAGAAAGGGAACGTCAGCACACTCGAGGCTCTTTGGGGCGTTGGCACCACTCTCCTAGTTTTTCATTCCCATTAGGACCCACTACTTTGTTTCAGAGTACCCCATCATTCAGTATTTCGATTTCTCTCTCTCTCTCATTGATGCCTGCCTAATCCGACCGTTCCTCGAAGAAGCTCAAGAGGCATCGCAGATAAAAAGGTCGCGCGATTAAAGCAAAACAAAAAAAGTAAACCCGCGATTTGAGACGAGTGTTATTTTTTCGCAAATCCGCGCAGGATTTGCGTCTGCCCTTCCCGTCCGCCAGGGCTTTTTTTTTCGAACTTTCGACCAAAGACAAGACGCGTGTTTCCTTTCCGCGCGTGAACGGCCGATATCGTCCGGCCGGCCGGCGAGCACGGCGGCCACGCATTCCGATCGCCACTCGATCTGCCCGGCTTATCACCCCGAGTGGCTGTTGCTATGCGAGGACGCGGCGCGGCGGCGCGGCACGCGCGGGGCGTCGTCGGCGTGCCGTCGGCCTGCCGCGCCTCCAGTGTGCCACCGCCAATCGGCGAAAGTAATGACCGTAACTAGCTGCTCGCGGTGCGGTGCGGTGCGGTGCAGTGCGATGCGTGGCTCGCCGGGGCGCGGCGGCGCGGCGCACGCCCGTGTCGCTGGCCGGCCAGCAATGCGACCGCCGCCATGCCGCACAGTGGGCCAGAAGACCGGTGGAGGCGGCCAAAACTCTAGACGCGTTTTGAGCTCGAGAGTCGCTGAACAGGACTCGAACCGAACTGTGACCATTCCAATGGATTCCTCGTTCGAAGAGCTATCCATTGGTGGGGTCACACGTTCGGTTCGAGTCCCATTTAGCGACTCTGGAGCTCAAAACGCGTCTAGAGTTTTGGCCGCCTCCACCGGTCTTCTGGCCCACTCTGTGCCGGCCGTGCCGCATACCGGCAAGCGGCGCCACACTGGGAGACCGGGAGGGAATCGCCCATGTTTGGCGCCGGACTCGTGCGGGGCAGAGTGGTCCTCGAATTGACCTCGAATCAGACGCATCAGGGGGCCAATGGATTGCGCTTCGCGCGAGGAAGTCATTGGTGCGGTCACGTGGTTGGTATCGAGCCGTTTCGGAGGCACCGTAAAAAGGAGCTCTGGCTCCTTCCTCTGGTTGAGCGCGCGGCGGCAAGAGCGCCTGCGAGGCAGGCAGCACCGCTGCATCCGTGTCCCGCGCTGGCCTACCTGCCAGGCGCTCCGAGCAAGGAAGTCGGCAGTTGCTATATTGCTATCGTCATTGCTATTTCCATTGCTATTTCCATTGCTATTGCTCTCTCCACTGCTATTCCCATTGCTATTGCTATTGCCATCACTATTGCTTTTGACGGGAGTAACCAGCGATGCTCACCGGAATATTGTGCTGGACCCAGGCCAGGCGGTGACTCTTGGCGTGCAGGCTGTTGTGGCCCTTGAGGTCGACGAGGAGCATGGAGTACAGTGAGCCCTGCAACAGGCAAAACAAGGCACGGTTAGTGGAGGGTTCGGTGGGGTGGTCAGTGCCGAAAACGAATGAGGCACACTGCGTATTTTTCTTATCGCGTCGGGCGCCAGGAGCTAATCTTTTGTTGTCGAATTGTCGTTCGATAATTTTTTTTTCGGCCGCTTCTTCGGACGGCTTGTTCAATCCGCCCGCCGGGTCCTTAGCCCTTCGGCTTGGGCGACCCAGACGACACCTCGAGTCGATCCATCAAAGCATCGAATCCTCTTTCGATAGCGAGGACGCGGGGTGCACCGCGACACGTGACGGTCCGACGGTCCGACGGTGTGGCGGTCCGACGGGCCACGAAGCAGAAAAAGGGGGAAGCTACTCGCCGTTCTTGCGCATTCCTGCCGATAAGGCGGCTAGATAGCATCGCCTTTTGTTCCATCCGTTCATGATGACGGTGCACCACACCGTGAGGCTCCACACCGTGCGAGGGGACGGCGGGCGAATTCAAATCAACGCGCCGCGCGGTATCTTATCTCGCACCGGAGAGGAGGAAGAGGAGGAAAGGGGGGGGGGGGCAGCCAGCGCCATGCCACACGGCCCAAGGTGCGTTACAAACAAAAATCGCGCCGCCTTTTTTGACAACTTGATTCCCCGCCTTATCGCGGCGAGGGGCTGAAAACAAGCTGCAGTCCGGTGGCACCAATAACAGCTTCGGACGGGGACAGTGGGCCAGAAGACTGGTGGAGGCGGCCAAAACTCTAGACGCGTTTTCAGCTCCGGAGTCGCTAAACAGGACTCGAACCGAACGTGTGACACAGGTGCGAGAGAGACAGACCTACTCTTGGCGGGCCCATGAACAGTGTCACTCTGAAGGGAGGATGACGCGGCGGGAGACGCGGGAATGCGCGGCCGGGCAGCCAGAGCGAACCGGTGGCGGTGACACTCCACCTTCAATAAGGACGTCGCGGAGATATCGCCGCTATTATCAAACACATTGAACCTGTGGCCCTGGCGGGGCTGGCGGGGCTGGCGGCCGCGCTGCCGCCGCCCTGCAGAGGCGTATTGTTGCACCACCTGTCTCGCACCACTGCAGCAAGTGTTTTCATATATAAGCCCAGCAGGTAATCTTCGAGTCACACCACGGTAATATGGCGCCGCGCCTTGGGCCTCCACGGGGGGAGGGGGGGGGGGGTAGATTCGGCGCAGACTGACGGTTACATAACGACCTCCTTTGCAAACGCTATCACATTGGTGATCGGGATCGCTCTGCCAGGGGTCTGCCCTGCCAGTGGTCTGCCCTGCCAGTGGTCCGCCCTGCCAGTGGTCCGCCGGCCGGTAGGGGCGGGACGGGGAGGCAGGGCAGGGGGTCCTTGGGTCGGCAAGGGCTTTCGGTTGGCGGGGCCGGACGGCGACCTTCATCAGTACGCAGTCGCCGCGACGCAGCGTGTGCCCCGGGCCCCGGGTAGCCGGCGTCCAGCCTGCCCCCTGCCCGCCACCCGCCGCCCTGTGGTCCGTGACTCAGCTCGACTAACATTGACATTAACTAGTGCGACACGACGCGAGCGAGGCTGATTAAGACCAGCGCGATCTGGAAAACTCCTCTCGCCCTTGTCGAAACGAGGTGCCTCCTCGTTGAGGGCGGACCCTGCGGGCGGGGTCCGGGAGCCGGTTTCGTCGCCCTGCGTCCTGTATGGGTGCGAGAGAGACGGAGACGACCCTCTATCAGTCTGCCGCCCAGTGCCCACAGTGCGGCCGTTAACGCGGTCCCTTTGGCGAGCCGCTTAGGGCGTTTAGGGCGGCCGGATGAATGTGAGGACGGTTTCGCGAATTGAGTGACGGAGTGGCAGAGGCGGAGCAAGGCCACGGCGGCGGCACCGGACAGATAAGCCGTTTAGGTGAGGCTGGCCTGGCGGGGCCACGTTATTTCAGGACCAGCAGGCCGATTCCGAGAGTCGTTTTCGTCGCTCTGTCTCTCTCGCACTCACGGGGCGTCCCGTACAGGTGCGACAGAGACAGAGCGACGAAAACGAATCGCTCGGACTCACAGACAGGCCGAAGGAGCACGCCGCCGGCGACCTCTCGCGGCAGTCGGTGACATGGCCGCGTGGCCACTTCATGACGTCCGAACACCAGGGCGAGAGCGAGAGTGAAAGTGCCCCCCCCCCTTTCCATCTCCGCGGGGCATTGTGCGCTATTTGTTGGCCAACAGGCCGACGCTGCACATTTGGGCCGTCGGGCGAGGCCCACGTCATGCGACACTCATTATTTTTTTTTTTTGTATTTTTAGATAGTGAGATAGTGCCAAACTGACGCACGGCGCAACCTCTCAGAACGGGACGGGCACCTGGCGGTTCAAGTGCGAGAAAAAGTTTGAATTGGTTTTCGGGTGCCCGCGCTTCTGACTATTGACGCAGCAGACTTGTTCCGAGAGTCCTCGCTCTGTCTCTCTCGCGCCTGTACGGGGCGCCCCATGAGTGCGAGAGAGACAGAGCGACGGAAACGACTCTCGGAGTCAGTCTGCCGGACAAGTCGATTCTGCTCTCCTTCGCGGAGTCAGGCCGCGACGCCGGGCCCGGCGACACATGTTTTGCGAGCAATTATTAATTAGGAGTTGGCCTCCGCGGCCTCTGTGGCCTCTGGCGGGCTCCACTCGTCGTTGGCCGGCCGTGGGGCCGTCCGACCGTCCCACCCAGGCGGAATCTGCCGCAGTCGACTCCACAAACGGAGCATTAGCAATGGAGGAGTAGTAATCAGTGAATGGCGGCAAGGGGGAGGGGCACTTTCACGCGCGTCTGTGTGAGTGAGTGTGAGTACGGCGTGAGTGTGTGTGTGAGTGTCGTGTACGTGTCACTGACTCGCGCCCAGTCGACCAGCGCAATTGGTCCGCGGCAAAAGGGGGAACACACACACACTGGGTCATATCTGGTCGTCAACAACCACACCCACACACACCGACACACCCACACACGAACGTATTCCAAGACACGTGCGGTCACAACGGGCGGCGAGTACCTGCGCCGTAAATATATTGTTATTATTATCCGTGGCCGTGGGAACACGCCCAGGCCGACCTAGATATGGGCCGCCTTGTACTTCGGAGCGACGAGCGACGCATGCAGGCGCTGCAGCGCAAAAACGGCGACCTGCCCTCGGCGGGATTCGAACCCGCAACCCGCACGTGGTGCGCGACCCGCAGCAGCCTTGGCCGCGTGTCCTCGAAGGCGGCACTCCAGTGGCGGTGTTCCTGATTCCGGTGACGGACCCGGCCTTCCGGTGTGCCGCCGAACTGCGCCGATCAAGTGGAGCTAGCCGTTCCCCCACCGCGCCGCCTCGCCGCGCTCCGCCGCGCGTGCCTAGATAATGGCAGCGGCATGATGCATCAGGGCGACGACGACGCGTCGCACGGCGCTCTGGAATATGCAAGCTTATCAGGAGAAAGAAAGAACGCAGCGCCGCGGCGCAGCAGCGCCAACGCGAAAAAACTCTACTGCAGTGTGGCGCCGACGAGGCCGAGTCGAGAGGTACTTCTTCTGGCTATTGACTGGCTCCTCGACGACGTCACCACCGCGCCGCACTCGCTGGAGCCGCGCGTGACGTCAGCGTCGGCGGCACCGCGCCGCCAATCACACGTCACTTTTTTGCGGCGGCGACGTCACCGACGCCTCGGTCTCGGCAAACACACACACACACACACACACACACACACACACACACACACACACACACACACACACACACAGAGGTGGAAAGGTGGAGGGGGAGGGGGTGTGCGGAAAAAGTGACCCGAGCCAGACTCCGGCGGAACGGCGACGTCGCCTCGTCTCGCCTGGCCGGCCTGGCCTGGCCTGGCCTGGCCACGCCGCGCGCGCCGGGACGGTTATGCAACAACAGCCGCGGCGGCTGGCTCTGAACCGACGCCTTGACGCTGTCTCTCTCGCACTCATGCGGCGCTTCGGAAGGGTGCGAGAGACACAGACGCGCCGCGACGCCAGTCCAGTCGAAGCACACTTAGCTCGCGCCGGCCGGCCGGCCTCTGACTCACCGCCCGGTTGGCGCTTCGCGCTCCGCACCGGACACATCGTGACAGCCGAAGCCACGGCGCCCGGCGTGTCAACCGTGTCAACGTCCCGCCGCGCCGCGCCTCCTCAACAAGTATATAAGTGCACGAGTCCGGAGACCCCCCGAGGCTGGGGGTGTGTTCTGCTATCTTATGCCGGCAACATTAATGTGACCGACTCGGAGCGACTGGCCGGGGCAGCCCGAAGCGGCCCTCAGGGCGCGCGGCGTGCATGTTCACGGAGCGCGGAAAGTTGCCCGGCGCCCGCACCGAGCGCAGGGTCACTGCCGACGGTGAAAATAAAAATTCCCCTCGCCGGTGCTTGAACCCCAGCCCGCCAGCCCGTCGCAGGCTCGGCCGATTCCCGGTAATCACGCTGATCACGCGCCCTTCGCGTGATAGCGGCGAGGCAGGCCATGAGGCGGGCAGCGATCGCCGCGCCTGATCTACATTCCCGTCCGCCGCGGATTTCCGCCTGAGAAGGCGGGACACTTATTATCGGGCAGGCATTCCGATCCTCATGGCACCGGCAGGACAGCGCGGTGGAAAAGGGGGGGGGGGCAGCGGCCGTGGAGGGAGGGGACGTCGCTAAATATGTGTTCTCGGAGATAAGGTCGCACAAAGAAACTGACGAGGTAAAGGGGCCTTCGAGGTAAAGGAGCCCTCGGGGCCTCTGCCTGCGCAAGCAGGGTATTTAGCAGGCTGCCCCCGCGAGCGGAGCGCCCCAAATACCGCGGTGGCACTGCACTTGATGGTCCAGGCAGGGCCGGCCGAGCGGTCAGTCTCCCCGCGGCCTGCTCCTCTGCGGTAAACAGCGGCGCCTTCGCTCCGCTTCCGCGTGCGCCCCCTGCCGCCCCCCGCCGCCCCCCGCCGCTTCCGTCAGAAAGGATCCGGTGTGACATTTGGCAGGCCAAGGTGGACCGTGTTTACAAACTCGCCACGCGGCGCCACGCGCCAGCGGTGCCACGACGACCACCCGCCAACCGGGCCGACTGCCTTGCCGTCCGAGAATAGGCGCTGGAAAGCTTCCATGCAGCGCGTTGCTGCGCGCAGCATGGCGGCCCATTGTCACCGAGGCCCCGGCGGCGCGGTGCGCCCCTGGCCGGGCCTACAGCAGCCTAGAGCGGACTGCTACGCCGCGCCCCGGCCAGCTGCGAGCTGCGCAGGCCTCTAAGTCCAAAGGCTGGGCGTGCCGCGGCGTGCCGGGCCAAGACGGCGTGGTGCGTGCGGCCCGCGCCCCGCGGCCTGCCCGACAATCCCTCGGGCCCAAGCGCCCTCAGGCCTCGCCCCGGGCCGGCCGGCCGGCCCCACTAGGCCCCACGCTACGCGCGCACAGCCTCCATGACCCCGCGGCGGACGGGCCGGCGGCCAACCCGGCGGCCAACCCGGCGGCCAACCGGGCAACGGGGTCGGCCGGCAGGCCAGCGGCGGCGGACTCGGACTCGGACTCCCGATCGGAGTGTTGAACTCGATTGGGCGGCCCTGCGGCGGCCCGTACGAGCACGCCGTCAACGGCCGCGGGCGCCAAGCAGAGCGGTGCATGCAGTGAGTGTCAAGGACTTCCCTCTGCACGTGCCGCCGCGCCGCCGCGCTGCTGCAAGCTAGAGGTCGCCGGGGTGCTCAAGTGCGGCGCTGCGGTGCCGGGGGGCGGGGCGGCCGGTCGTAAGGATGGTGCCTTGCGGCGGCGGCCCGACCGCACCCCCACGTGCGAATAATGGGCACGGCGTCGAGGAGGCGTCCGAAACGCAACGCGGCGGTGGCGGCCAAGTCCTTCGCGGATGCGCGTCTCGACGGCGGCGACCGGGGTGCCTGCACCGCCTGCACTGCTCCAAACAATGGCACTGAATGACACTCACCTCTCGTGCCTTGGGGTAGGCGATGGTGGGGGGACACCTGAAGTCGTCCTCGGTGAAGACGCCGACGCCGGGGGCGGCCTCCTCCGCGAGGCGGGGCGCCGACGCCGACGCGGCCGCCGACGTCTCCATGCGGGACTCCTTGCCCACGATGCGGCGCCCGGTGCAGCACGTCACGTCCAGGCTGTTCCGCGGACGCTTGCGGCTGGAGCGCCGCGACGCCGACATGAGCGACAGCGAGGACGCCGTCGACGACGGCTTCCTCTGCGCGGACGGCAGCGCGCCCATCGGGTGCGGCGCCTCCTTGGTGCGGGTCCGCTCGTGGAAGAACACGTTGACACTTTTCACTAGCCCCTCCAGGTACTTGGTGAAGCAGGGCATGGTGGCGGCTTGATGTGAAGTAGTCATGCAGAACACAGTGAAAGCACTCGCGGGTTCGCGGGGCGCTCGGCTGGCGAGGCGCTGGCGGCAGAGAACGCGGCACGGCGGTGCGTCTGCTGCGGATCGCGAGTCAAGCTCGTCTGGCTCGACCGAGGCACGGACCCACCAAGTCCCCCGCCGTCAGCTGCTCCGCGTGGGCCCCCGCCGCCCCCCGCCGCGCCCCGCCGCGCCGCCGCGCCCCGGCCTCCCCGCCGCCTCCCCGCCGCGCCCCGCAGAGTCTAGACACTGTCATGGCGAGGAGGAGAGGAGGGGCCTATCTGCCACTGTGTGGTTTCATCGTGGCACTAAAGGTGTCCGACAAAAACACACACTTGCGCAGGGGACATACACACACATACACATACGCAATGCACATACGTACACGCAATACACACATATATACACACATTCACAGCGCATGTACACTTAAACGGAGACAGACTTACATATACACCCACACACGCACAGTGCGCCTATCGTTGCCTAGCTGTGTTGTCCACTTAAATAAAGGCTCGGATAGTGACATTAGGATAGGTGATTCGCAGGTTTTCACTTTGATTTGCTTAATCGAGGTGATTAAGAGCTTCTTGGCCATAGTCAGCCGGCAGACAGGGAGATAGATGGAGAGACGCAACGGGATTAGGTCAGAAAGAGAGAAATGTTGGGGAGAGAGAGAGAGATGCAGTTATGACTAGGTAGCATGACCGAACATAGAATCTCTCTCGGTTTGGTGTCATTCGACGCTGTTGCAGCAAGCTCGCACCCAGGTCATTCATGAGGACCCATGGTCTGGCAGCCTACGGTACAGTCCGCCTGGGTGAGGCAAACCCTCCCCAACGACGACCCTCCCCCTGTGAACAAACCCTGGGTCCGCCCCTGGCGCTGTCAGCATAGTGCACGGAAATGGTCGAGGTAGCGACGGAAGGTCGCGAAAGGGTCAAAATGCGGGCGAAAAATCCATCACGCGGCTCATGAATGGCGCGCTATCGCTGCACACACCCCAAACACAGGCGGCGGGTGGGCTGCTGGCTCCTGCTGGCTTGGCCCTCGGCATGCTGGCCCTCGGCCGGTGCATGTTTTGTTGCGACTCTGTTTACCCAGCCGACCCTGCAGGCCCGGCACGGCACGGCGCGGCCCCCTTCGCCGGCCCGCCCGGCCCGCCCGGCCTGCCCATACGTTTCCATGCGGCCTTCATGACCCAAATTTTCCGAGGAAAATCGGCAGCCTGCCAACAGCGGGCGGACCACCGGTGCACGTGACAGCGATGCGCTTCGCTTTTAACGGGCGACTTTACGGTGATTGGGCCGAAGGCCACCCGCGTCATGTCCGGTACCGGCTGATTAAAAAGGTGAAGGTTCACTTCGGGGGAGGGACACCTATCGAGGTTCGATAACTCGCCCATAACAATCGATTGGCCAAATCACGACCGAGCCGGGCGTCAAATTACAGAAAAAGGAGAACGAAACGAATCTCCCGGTGAAAATAATGAGGTTCATTATCGGGTCTTTTCTCATACGTTTTCTTTCGCGCGTTTTCTCTTTTTGTCGGGCAGATAAAAATAGTCGAAAAAGTAACGCGAGTGGCATCGTCTTATCGCACTAACTCGACCGTCACGGAGCGGTGACCAAGAGCCTTACCTATGCCAAACTTGCCTTGCCACTCCGACCAACAGTGGGCCAGAAGACCGACGCCGGTGGCGGAAACTCCAGACGCTTTTTGGGTTCCAGAGTCGCTAAGCAGGATTCGAACCGAGCTTGTGACCCCACCAACGAAAAGCATGTCTAGTGCCGCTGGCACCGCTGCTTGAACAGGGAAACATCGCCGTTCTGGGGAAATGTCACAGTCTGATAAATGGCGGGTAAAAATGAGTCAGAGTCGCGAGGCTGCTGCCCTTGACTGACGGCCGTTGATAAATTGGACAGGAATGTGCAAACGGGACAAGTCCCCCTTTCTGGGCCTTTTGGCCGAGCCTAGCGTGTAAAAATAAGCGGCTGCTGTACACCAGCACGCCGCGCTGCCGCCGGCCCAGGCCGAGGCCCAGACGCCATGCAGACGCTGGCCCCGTGTCCGTTCACGCCCGTCTGGCCCGCTGCGTGATCAACCGCGCAGCCGTGGCAGCGGTCACCCCGCTGCGCTGCGATGCGCCTCGGGCGTCTGGTGCAGCGGGCACGGCACGCCACTGCAAAGCACGGCACGGCACGGCACGGCACGCCACTGCAAAGCACGGCACGGCACGGCACGGCACGCCACTGCAAAGCACGGCACGGCACGGCACGGCTGAATTGCAGTTTGGACGTCGGAAGCCCCCTACCCCATCCTTGCTGGCGGGTTGCGAGGGAGGGGGGAGGGGGACGTCCCAGCCGAACGGGTCAGCCGCCGAACACTACTTCACATTCACATGGGGTAAGCCGGGGCCAAGGCTCCGTGATGGATTAGGGTTAGGGTAGCGGCGGGGCACAGTGTGCCACACCAAGGCTGCAGTTTGGCGCAGCAGTCGCGCGAGGACACAGGTGTCGGCCACGGCAGGCTGATCCCGAGCTCTTCGTCTCTCTCACACCCCTACGGAACGCCCCATGAGTGCGAGAGAGACAGAGCGACGTGGCACCGTTTTAGGATCGCACCCTCCTGCAGACGCGCCACGCGTTGTGGCAGCAGGAAATTATTCTTCCCGGCTTTTCTCGGTCTTTCTTTGCGTCCCTATTTGTGGCCACAAATTTGAGGAGGGACTACTGGTGGCGTTGCGACTTCGAGAGCATTTCTTCTCCGTTTTCTGTATCCATAGCCGCCGTTCTGCCGAAGCGCAGTTTGCTGGGAGACAGGTGTGGCCACAAACAGGGCCGTAGCTGCTCGTGCTGGGCGTCCTGGTGGAGAGCGCCCGGCAAGTAGGCAGTCCCGTTGCGCCCGCCTGTTTAGCGGGACGGCGGCCGTTGTTTCCACGGCGCTTCAGCGGGTCTGGCGGGGCACAGTGGGCCGGTGGAGGCGGCCAAAACTCTAGACGCGTTTCGAGCTCCAGAGTCGGTAAACAGGACTCGAACCGAACGTATGACCCCACCAATGGATTGCCCTCCGAACGAGGAATCCGTTGGTGGGGTCACACGCTCTGTTCGAGGCCCATTTAGCGACTCTGGAGCTCAAAACGCGTCTAAAGTTTTGGCTGCCTGCGCCGGTCTTCTGGCCTACTGTGCGGGTCCTGTCCAGGCTGCTGGGGACTGGGCGGGGGCCGCCGCCGGCCGGCCAGCTCCAGAGGTCGACGTCGAGCCGCGTCGCTGCTGGTGCTGCTGCAGTGTTGTTGCCACCAACCTGCCGCCAACTTTATCTGCAGAGCTGACACGGCGTCTTTCGGTCTGCCGACGCGGACTCAGCAGCAGCAGCCGGCCGGTCGCGTCGCTCTGTCTCTCTCGCACTCATGGCGCCTGCCGCTGAGGTGCGAGAGAGACAGACACTTTCCGGAATCGCTCTGCGCGGGGCTCCCCGAATAATCCCGGCCACTCGATGCGAGATGCCGTCACGCCGTTCCAGATTATTTTTGAACGCGGCGGAGGCAAGGCGGCCAGCGGCGGCGCAGCGCGGTGTGCGGCGCGACGCAGCAAAATTTGGTTGAGGCAGGCCGGCAGGTCGCTGACGTCACCGGGCTGTCCACCACCTGGACAGCGTGGCCGGCATGGACGGCGTGGCCCAGCGTTGCCCAGCGTGGCCGGCCGGTCGGGATGGGTTGTGCGGGTCGGTTTTGGTTTACTTGTCAAGTGGGTGAGTCAGTGTGCGCGTCCCCACACGCACGCACACGCGCACACGCACACACACACACACACACACACACACTCACACGCACACACACACGCACACACACACACACACACACTCACACGCACACACACACGCACACACACACACACACACACACACACACACACGCGCGTAGGGCCCAGTCCGGTGAGCGACCTGACTGCACGTGTGTCGGTGGGGGCCACGGCCCGGCCACGGCGAAACCCAGCGTGGGAGAAAAAGGGACGAAGGCGATCCGATCCGCGACGTTTTGCCGCGTTTTGCCGCGTTTTGCCAAGCACAGCAACGCGAGAAGGGCACTCCGAGAGTCGCTCGGTCTCTCTCGCACTCACGGGCGTCCCGTATAAGTGCGACGAGGAGCTTATGACTCCGAGCTCGGGGCCGCGTCGCCGCCGCCTCACCACGCGGAGACGTGGCGCTTTCTTTGAAGTCTCAAGGTTTCCTGCCGCGAGGTGGATCCGTTGCCGGGGAAGCGAGTGAACTCCGCCGCGGGAGCGTCACACTGGTCACACACGGGCCGCCCTGGCCGTCCCGCGGTGTAGACTTTCATCGTCGTTACGCGAAGAGTATAGTGCGCTGGGAGGAACGATGACTTTCTCGAGATTTTTCAGGGAAACACTATCTTAACGCAGCGCTAATACTTTCGCAGTCAAAGGCTGGCGTATCTTTTTCCTTCCCGGAGGCGTGTGATGGTTTTCAATTTCCACTCTGTTGACTGACACCTTCCCGAGAAAACGTCCAACTCAGACAGACTAGACGAACCCCCGAAAAAGGCGAAGAGGAAAGAGACTCATTTTGCGGCGGCGTTTCTCTTTGTCCCTGTCGATGGGCAATATCTCTCCCCCCCCCCAACCCGTCTCTGGATCGGCCCTTGCCTATTAGTGTTTCCCGCGGCAGACCCAACACGGCGATGACCCACATTTTCGGCCTTATCGGAACCGACAGAGACAGAGGCGCGCGGGGCGCGGGGCCCTTACCGGGGCGACGCCGCGCAATGACCCAGCTAGCGCGGCTAGCGGCGCCACACCGCCACACGTGCCGCGTGGGTTCACGGTCCAACGCGAGGACGGCGTCGACGGCGTGCTGCGTGTTCAGCGCGATGCTCTAGGCCGCCACGGCGCGAGTAAGTGGACACCACCTGCGGACTGCATCCGAGAGTCGTTTACGCCGCTCCGTCTCTCTCGCACTCACGGGGCGTCCCGTATGGGTGCGAGAGAGACAGAGCGACGAACACGACTGCTGCATCGGGGTGCTTCCGCAGTGCATGGTGCAGTGCGTGCAGTGCGGCGCCCGGAGCTGCTGCCGTAGCGCCGCCCTGACTCGCACACTGGAAACACGACGCTCGCGTTGCAGCACTCGCCCTACACCGTGTCGCTCAGCGCCTCGGCGTCCCCCATTCGATGGGCGCCACGACCGGCCGCGACACAGAGACACACAGACACAGAGAGGCGCGCCCGCATTGCGTTGACCCTTGCGCCTCGGCACCACCGTGCACTATCCACGCAACAGTGGGCCAGACGACGACCCGACCGGCCATGACAGCCACTCTAGAGGTGATTCCACAAGAATGCGAGAGCTACAAATTGACCAAAACATACGAAATATGGTAATACCCGAAATTTTCGGAGACTTTGTGGTCTCTGGCTCAAAACGGGTTTTCCGGCCCGTGTTTGATCTAAGCAGTGTCCGTCTTCTTCCTTGAGACACTGTCCACACTGGGCTGGTATCTCCCAGAGCTGTGCGTTTGCTTTCCTTGTGGCACTCACACGATTTGGCCGTCGCGTCGTTTTCTCCTCTCCGCGCGGAGTGTTAGTGCTCGCTTTGTATGTGTGAGCACAAGTGCGCGTGTGTGTGGGGGGGGGGGGGGCATGCGTGGCTATGCGTGCATGTGTGTGTGTCCGTGCGCCATTTTTTGCCTCACGCACTCGAAAGGATGTTTGTGAGAGCCGAAATAAGAATCACGTGCGGGTGGGGCGGGTTCAAACACCAGAGTACACGCCCCCCCCCCCGCCCCCTTCTCACTGGGGCGATGGATGTGCAGCTTGTGCAGCGGCGGCGCGGCGTGCAGTGCAGTAGGCCAGGGCCGGGTCAAGGTGGCGCAGGCGCCGCAGCCTCGCCGTCAAAGTCTTAACGCTGCGCCGCGGGGCCGCGGGCTAAGAACGATAGCAACCTGCAGCCTGCAGCATCAACACCGCCGTGGCGATGGCGGTCCAGCAGACTGATTCCGAGAGTCGTTCTCGTATCTCTGTCCTCCTCGCACTTTTAAGGAACGCCCCGTGAGTGCGAGAGAGACGGAGCGTCGAGAAAACGACTGTCGGAATCAGTCTACAGTCTGGGGGTGCACCAGGCTGACCACGCGGCTGAGTCATGGGAGGTTCTCCCCAGCCCCCGCCCCGCCCCGCCCCGCCCCGCCAACGCCCGTTGTGCCAGATCGAGCCTTCGATCAAGGCGCCAAAGTAGCAGCGGAATAAAATGAACGAGTCCAGCGCCTTGTGTTTGCACGCCGCGCGCCGCGCCCGCCCGGCCCGGGGAGGAGTGTCGTGTTTACTTTGCCGCACTTTGGCTGGCCGCGGGGAAGTCCAGCTCGGCCCGAGGAGCATGCGCGACCCCGCCGGCCGGCCCGGCGAGGCAACAACAAAAACAGCATTAGTAGGAACCTTGGCGGTAAACAAAGTAACCCAGCATCGGCGTGTGGCACCGGCTGCTCTAGATACGCGCTGCGCGATGCGCGTCCGCGGAACCGGCCGCGACGCAGTGTTTTTGCGTCCGTTTATCACTGGGCGGTGTCAGGCCGCGCTGCCTCTGCCTGCCTCTGGCTGCGTCCCGACGCGGACGCCCTGCGTGCTGCGCTACGCCCCTCCGGGCGTGGCGCCCCGTCACTGGTACACTGGTACGGCGTGCCGCGGACCCAGACCCGCTGCGCAGCGGGGCACGCGCTGGGCACGCGCCGTGACACGGCGTGGCGTCGCAGCGCGTCGCACAGTGGGCCAGAAGCCCGACACCGGCGGCTAAAACTCCAGACGCGTTTTGAGCTCCAGAGCCGCCAAATGGGCCTCGAACCGAGCGTGTGACCCAATGGATTGCTCTCTGAATGAGGAATCCATTGGTGGGGTCACACGCTCGGTTTGAGTCCTGGTTAGCGACTTTGGAGCTTACAACGCGTGTAGAGTTTGGCCGTCGGCGCCTGTCTTCTGGCCCTCTGCGCGTCGCAGCGGCGCGCTGGCGAGGCAGTGGCCGGCGGCCGCGGACACCGGTTTAGGCGGACGCAGGCGGACGCCAACAACTCCGAGAACGCGTTTCGCCCGGTAGAGTTCACGGCTAAAGCAGTCCCTGGGAATCCCAGGCCAACCCTGGAAAAGGGTTATATATTTTCCAGGAGCCGTCAGGGAATCCCAGGTGCTGTTTTTGCCATGTCGCGAAAGGGACTCAAGTCGAGCTCATGAGGGTACCAGTGGATGTTGCTCTTCGGACGCGGAATCAATTAGCTCCACCCTCGTATAATTAATTTGCCAGATTTTTGAAAAAAAAAATCAATGACTTTAATTTTGAGGTCAAAACTATCCTTGTGATTCAAAAGCGAGCTCCTACCTCAACCCCGCCCCAGCCCCTGAAAACGGGAAAGTTGAAAATAAATCCATTTCGCGCGTTGAACCTTGCAGGTAGTTGGCTGATTATTTCGAGCTTTCCTTCCGTAGGCTTTATCAGTCTGTCACCGACACCTCCACCCCCACCCCCACCCCGTCCAGCGTCATCCTTCTTGCCACGTTTCGCTCTCTGAGAAAGGGGTACACAGCAGCGCGCCCCACTGCACGATAAGGAGACGTGGAGGTGAGAGAAGCGTATCTCGGCCTGCAACGCGTCGGTAGTACGGCCTGTCTCCGCGCGTCTCCGCGCGACTTCATTTTGCAATAATCGCTCCCCCCCCCTTTCTCCACCTGCACACTCACCAACTCACACACACACACACACGCCTCCCGCAGACACACTGGCGCAAATCTCGCGCACACACACATGACGGCTCACGCGAGCGGGAGTGGGACGGACGGGCGACGACAAAAATAGCTCGACAGTCAGTTTCTAAATGCGGTAAGGCGAGCCTCTTCATTTTCTGCCGCCCTGGTGCGAAGTGTGGTGCAATTAGCACAACACGCCGCTGCGCCGTGAGGAACTTTGGCCCCTCTCTCTCGCCTCTTTAGAGTGTAGTGCCGCTCGGAGTCCTGCATTGCTTCGCGAAGCTACGGGACTCTAGTGCACCAGGCCCGCCCGTCGGTGATCACGTGGTGGCCGCCTGGCGGCGGGTGAACCGGACAACCGGCCTGGTCACGTGGTGACAATGAAATTGCTCTTGGCGTGCCTGGGTCCAGCCGACGATCGCTTCGTCGCTCTGTCTCTGTCGCACTCGCGGGACGTCCCGAAGGGGTGCGAGAGAGACAGAGCGATACACGACCCTTCGGGGCCTTCGCAGTGGCCCGGCCAGTCCAGGCTCCATTGTGCCGTGCTATAAGCAGGGCAGCACGGCGATAGGCCGCTCCAAAATAGCCGAGCCCATCTTCGCCTCACGCCTTGGCCGCGACTCCATGAGCTTCGCTCTTCGCTCTACGCCAGTGGCGTGGACCGCCACACCGTGAAGGCGCGCGTCGCGGACGCGTCCCGCGGGGCAGCCCGTCCGTGCTCCAACACGCACTTCGGCACTTCGCTGCGTCGTCGTCGCGCCCCGGCCGGCACCGGACAGAGCTCTCTGTCTCTCTCGCACTCGTGAGTGTCGTCGCTGGCGCGAGAGAGACACAACTACAGAAAAGACTCTTGGTAGGAGGCCGACCGTTTGCTCGAGGAAAGTCCGAGCCCCCGAATTAGGCCCCCCTCCCTTTCCCCCTGGCCACTGACTTGCAGCTTCCGACGGGCTGCTGCAGCGCGGGGGGCGCAAGCACTGATACACTGATAGGGCGCGGCACCGCGACGCCTCGCCACGCCCCGCCGTGCCGCGGCGCCGAGGCGTCGCGACGCTCCCTGTCACGGTCACGCGTCTCGCTCGGTTCGTGTGTATTCGGCTTAATAATGAGTGTACCGGGTTTCGGGCATGCGACGCCCTCCACGGCGGGTCGTCCAAATCTAACGGCGCACGAAGGTCGAAAAATTTATTCCCGATTCGTTAGAGTCCTTTGGAAGGTTGTGTGCCCAACTGAGCTGGTCTTTCTAAGCTAGCCGGCTGAGCGCCGTGCGTTTTCTCCGAGCACGACAAGGACCCCATCAAGAGAACGACCTCCTGGCGAGCGATGTCTCTCTCACACCCCAACGGGACGTCCCATGAGTGCGACAGAGACAGAGCGACCGAACGACGCTTCGAAATGAGCTCGCTGTACGAGGAATGCAGATGACGGAGTCAAAGACGGTTTTACTGTCGGCAGTGAGGCACGCTCTGTGCTCTGCTCGGTGTGAGTGTCTCCAGCAGACTGTCCGAGAGTCGTTTCGTCGCGCTGTCTCTCTCGCACCTATAGGGGACGCCCCATGAGTGCGAGAGAGACAGAGCGACGAAAACGACTCTCGGTACGAGTCTGCAGGTGAACGGCCGCGGCGTCCGCCTCTTCAACGCGCTCCTCGTCCTTGGCCGCGGCTCCGTTTGGCGGCGGGCCGCTCCGCCCAGGACACTGTCGGCGCCGGCCCGGAGGACGACGAGGACACCGCGTCCGTGGAGGCGTCCGGGCGCGGCGAGCGCTGCGAGCGCCACCGGGCGCGCTCCGACTCCCAGGCGTTCGTCGCGGTGCGCTCCGTCTCCTCCTGGCGCTCGCGCCGCTCCTCCTCGGCAAGCTGCTGCCGGACCGCGGGGGGCGTGTAGCTGTGCGTCAGCCGCCGGTACACGCAGCCGTCCGTCCGCATGGCGTACAGGAACACGAACAGGAACAGCAGCATGCCTGGCGCGCGCATCGTGACAGTCATCGACAAGTGTAAGCCGTTCCCGCGAGTGAGTGAAAACGCCTGCGAACGGCGGGTAGGCAACCCAACCGTCGGCACGGAGCTCGCCGCCGTGCCCGATGGGTTGCCTACCCACCGTCTCGCAGGCGTCCGCAGCTCACCGATGGACTCTACTCACCGATGGACTCTACTCACCGAAAGTCCATGGCAAAGTGACCGTCAAGAAGTAGTCCGGCCTTCTCTCCGCGTCGGCCTCCCTGCCAGCCTGGCCGCCAGCCTGGCCGCCTCCACGACGCTTGGGAGGCAGGGCAGTCGCCTTTTCGCGACCGAGGGCCCTGCCGAGGTTGCCTGCGTCTGCCGAACCCCCAAAAACACAAAAGCAGCTGAGACTAACCGTCGACCTACTGGGCCTGGGCCTTCCCTGTGCCGACGTGCCGACCGAGACAAGTCAACAATGCCCGTGAAATCTTACAGCATCAAGCAAGCGGCCGAAAGGGCCAAACAGCCATGCCTCACCGTGCGGGGGACCCTCTTGTATCAGTTCATCGAGAGTTTTCGCAGTGGAGTTCAGGACCCAGTTCTCGTTGTCGTCTACTGCAAAGCCGGATACCTGTAACGCCACCTTTGCATGGTTACCCCACCTCTACGAATCGCTCGTGCGTTAATTTCATCGTGCTTTGCTGCATGTGTACCCCAGGCGCAGTGCTTCCGTCTTGAGCTCCGTGATCTCCGTAATCGCTTGTTTGAGCGACAGTGAGCTTGCAGTGGATTAGCACCACTGAAGGACAGATGCGCCAAAGGGAAGTTATTGGTCTGTTTTTTTTAACGATCATTTGAAATTTTGAAATGTCTGCACGCTTCTCATTCTACGTGGGTACTCACACCATAACGTGGAAACTAGGGCGAGTAAAGTGAGTCGCATATTTCTGTTGAAAACTTCGGACTGCTTCGGACCCGATACCGATAAACCGATCATGGCCGAACATTTGAACAGTTTTGAGTCAACAGAAGGCTTCTTATAGGTGGCTGTGCCACACAGGGCTGCCCGCCCGCGCAGCGGCCAGCGGGCGCCGCGCAGAGTGCAGACCGGTGCAGACCAGGTGCACACTACTACACTTGCCAAAATATGGCATAGGCTAAAAATTTGATAGGAAATAAGGAAGACAACATGGTTCGGGTCCCGATTAATTTTACTTTATTTTCAGTTTCAAGAACAGTTCACAAGACAAGAAAAGATTTGAACAGTTCTGAAAGCATATCTTTGACATAGGCAGTGTTGTGACAGGTGATAAATTACACAACACGTGATGAAAAAATAGGTAGAAACTACAATAAAAATGATCAAGAGTGGCGTCTGTGGAAGTGAAAGAAGGCCACACATAGAAATACAGTCAGAAACAAGCAGGATTAGCAAAAATATACATGCACTTCAATTAAAATATCAGTCATCAAAGACACAACTTCAGATTTTTTTTTTTGCAATGTCAAGAACTTCTTGGACAACAACAACACAAAAAAAAACAACCTTCAGTTCAGCTCAAAAATTATTACAAGTGATGAGAAATTTAGAACAAAGCAACACGTTTATTAGAAGAATTTTCTTGTTGAATATTATTTTAGAAAGTAAAGGAAGTAACCACCAATTACAGAGATAATATTCTAATAGCATAACAAGTCAACTTTAAAATTATATCACAGACATTATCACCTCGACCAAACAAAAAAAAAAAAAAAAAAAGGATATTGTGAGTCAGACACACTCCTCAGAAGCATTTTGATATCAAATAGTAATCATAATTTTTGTTTACAAACAGTGCATACAAAACTTCTGAAAATACATCGTTTGATTTCAGGTGAGAAAACTGTATACATGGAGACAAGCATCCCGTCTATAAATAAAAGCTGCAGGGTCAAGGATGTGGAAAAATGTAGAAATTAATTGAATTCACTATGTAATATGACGAATCAGTTCCTCTAATCCTTAATGTCTGTCCAGCAGAGATGTAGAATCATAGTATCAAAAAAGCCTTACAGAAACTCATATAAAACAACAAGTATGGTATCTGGATTCCCCCACATAAAACATTCAAAGACTAACAAGTAAAGAGAAACAACGGATCACCACATTTGATTATCACACAACTGTTGTTATAAGGAGCATATTGAAGCAAAAATTATAAAATATATAATTTGAATGGATATATGTAATAAAGTACACAGGCACTTGACATGTTAACACTAAAAACAGATTGATAACTTGTATTGCCAAAAAAGCTCACAAAGTATAAAACTTGGAAAAATTGAGCTCACTAATTCAATAGAGTCCAAGTGTGTAAGGACTCAATCTGAAACATGTATAAAGAAAAATAGGATTTTCACTTTCTTAAGTGATTCAGATTCTTTTTGTTTTCTTTATAGGACTAGCAAGTTTTAACATGGCTACATACACTTTTGCAGAAAAACTAAAAACAAACAAAAGGACTTACACACTAGTAAGAGATTTGTTGGCCGTGATATTGGCACTGGCTTCAGCATGTAAATATTGTCACTGTTGAGCTTTACGATCTTGGCAGTGATAGTGCACTACATCACCATCCGGGTAGCGAGCAAAAGCACTGAAAAGAAAAAAAATAGATCACAATCTTGAATTTAATGGAAACAAGTTCAACTATGCAATTGATAAATATTACACTTAAATACAACATAAATATTTACCTTTGATTGCCAAATCGCTTTTTGCACACAGAGCAAACATTCAACTCTGTTATGCTTGTGATTTTGGACTCAAAATAATGCATTCTTTGTTCTTGAGCCTGACAAGGAGAACAGTAAAATGAGAAAAACCAAAATAAGCTAAATATCCCCACCACAACATACAGTACTCCATCTTAACTGACCTGGAGATTCTCAGCAAATGTTAATCCTTTAAGAACAAGAATGTGCCGTCTTTCATTCAATTGCTTTTGAAGACTTTTCTCAAGAAAATGACGAATCCTGCATATTGGGACAGTGTCAGGCAACACCTCAAGTGCCTGTGCAATTATAAATTTAAAAAAACTATGAAAACTTTGAGACACAGAGCACTAACTAGTATGTAACAAGATAGAAAGACACTTACTTGAATAGGCTGAATCTTGGCAGCGTGTTCTTCTAGCAGACTTAAAGCAGTTTCTAAATCTGGCTTTGATGTTGCAGGAGACACTGGAACACCCCTGAGCCAACTGTCTGGAGGACTTATCAACATTTTAATCAATAGTACATAAACCTGAAAACAAAAGGCACCTTTTCATGAGCAAAAAAGAAATAAAGTTGTAATTTCAAGTTGGAAACTAAGGCTATTGGGGTATCATGAAAAAATTTCACAACTTTGGAGACTCACTTCATCTGCCCCTTCCTTTTGGTTGCTGTAAACTTCATGACAGTATTGGATGGCCCGATTCACATCCCCAAGCATCATCACATAGATGGACAGAACCTGTTCATGTTTTCCGAGCTTTCCCAGGATCACTGCTCTCTCTTCAAACATACCTGTGAAACAAAGTGATTGTAGAAGGTACATAACAAAGCAACCCTAATGCAACAGTCTAACTAGGAAATACAAATGTACTCACTATCATATGGGAACTGCACCAGAGCATTCTCAGGAGAATAGTTCTTTGAAACTTCAAGGAAAGCTAATAGCTTGGCACGCACTTCTTTCTCTTCCGATAATTTACCCGCAGTGAAAAGAGAAATGGCTTGTTCCCGATACTGATGAACCAACGCATCATGTAATATTGTGGAGGAGTCATTCCACACATGTATTACATGTTCCTGGAAAATAAAAACAAATATTTGTGATTAGACAATCTAACAACAACTAATATAAAAACATTGACAAAGACTTACAAGATAAGGGATGACTAGTTTTTTGTGTAAACGGAGAAGATAGTCGAGAACTTTTGGTCTGGGTAGGCCCTCCACTTCCGGCATTTCCTCAGTGAAAATACTAAGTCCATCCATAGGATGCTCCTCCAGAACCCAGCCAGCAAACTGAAATATAAGTTCTATGTTTTCTCTCCCTGAAAATAATGTATTGGAAACAATAAGTAGAAGCAATGGATGAGACTATTTCAGAGAAGGGGAACCTATGACAATCGACCAACCAAGATTTTGAAGGTACAACACTGTTCTATAATGACCCTGCAGTGATGGGTCTTGTTGAGTGGATTGCTTTTGCAATAATTCGAGTGCCTTTTTGTGAAGGCCCTTTGTTTGATACAAGATTATTAATTCACTGTTTTTCTCATGCTTCTTGAGCATTTTCTCTGCTTCTCCCAAATGGCAGTGATTCAATCGAAGGAGAGGAGCAACAAATGCATCATTGGTCTAGAAAAAGATAATTGTTGAAGATTTCAAGATGGTTGAAAGAGTTTTTGTAGCTGTAAGTAGTTTAGTTCAACCAACCTGTAGGTAACATTTTAGTAATGTCGTGTCAATTATTTGGAAAAGTTGTTCAGTTGCCTTACAAAACTGATCATACACCTTGTTTTCGGCATCAATTTTAACCTCTTCCTCGGGTGTTAGTTTTCTCATTCTCTTCTTCTCTCTTTCGGAGAATTCTTTGTCTTTTTTCTCCTTTTCAGATTTTTTAGCAAGCCTCACTTTAGTCAGATATTCAATGAGAGCGAGTAAGCCACTTTCCAAGTCTATGTCCTCCAATTTCACAACAGCCTCAGTCTGCCCTTTCAAACGTTCTTGTTGAGGCAATAGATTAGGAAAAAGCTTGACTACTTCATATGGATCTGAAAATCACACAAATGAGGTAAGGAGTTAGTCTCACAATCACAATTATGTTAAGCCTAGACTATCCCCTAAAAGGTACAAGGGACAGTGATATTATTATAATGCTACATACTTGTTTCTAACTTAAGGAATTGCTCCATGGATTCCTTGAATTGTTTCTTATTAAATAAGTCATACGCATATAAAGTCTGTATTTGATGAACATTTTTGGCTTTGTCTTCTGATGTTTCATCAGATATATTCTGAGGAGAACAATTCATTTTTATTAGAATTATTACAATGTTGTTAAGATTAAACATTAAAATAAAGCATTCTGCCACTTACTGCAATTTTTAAGGCGAGTTGAAACTGCTTCTGTTCCAGCAAAAAATGAATTTGTCGACTCCATGTGACATTCTGCAGACACCAGACAAATGCACCCGATGCCGCATAAAGCAGCCCTGACTTGCATCTGATGATCATTTTAGGATCATCGAGAAGATGAGTTTGAACAATGAGGGATGGTTCAACTGTCCTAATTTCAATGGATTCCGGTGAAAGAGCAACAAGGTAGGGCTCATCATACACTGTGAAATCAAAAAAATGTCAATGCTCCAAAAGTGAAAAATAATGAACTGTGAGAATATTTTCAAATCTTTTACCTAGATCCCTAGGAACATTCTCCCATTTCATTTGCTTCAGACCAGCTGGATTTCCTTGTGTGTCTATAAATATAGAGTGGTTATCTTTTCCAAGTATGAATATTTCCCCATTCATTTCAAGGACGCTTGGGGACCGGTTCCCCGGAGGACACAAAGGTGTCTGCGTTTGATCCTTTTTGCTATCTTTGTTCAGCTTAAAATTAGAAAAAAGCGATCAAGAAAATTGTTCAAACTCAAGTTTCAAATTTAAACGGAATGACAAACATCATCATCTATACTTACATGGTACAACATATAAACACTATCACCTTTGAATCCAACACATATGGTTTCTTCAATCCATGCCAAAGCTTTGGGTGTATCAGGCATAGAAATCTCCTCCATTAGAGAATGAAATGTTCCATTTTTCCAATAGAAAATCAGCAGCTTTCTCTTCACTGCCACACACATTCTTACTATCACAGATTTTTCTCCAGTTTGAGTTACTGTTTTCTGATATCAAAAAGTAAATTATATAAGTCACAAATAAAACAGATAGATCAGAAGACTTTGTTGTAGTAGTTTTTTCTTCAAGTTTACCTTTATGTCTACTGAAAAAAGTGTGGCACCTCTGGTTTCAGAAACAACACATAGGGTAGGAAAATTAATAATGGCCATATCGTGGACACACACAACATTGTCTGTAGAGAAAAGAAACGATTAACTGCCTGAGATAGGTATGTAAAAAATGAAAGATTGACTCTTTGAGAGGCTAAATTACCTGTCAAACTGATCAAAAGTTGATGTTCCTGGACAACAGCCAGCTGTTGAATGGGCTTCTTACTAAATGTCTTATTGTATCGAAGAAGGTGGACTTCATTTTTATTGTCAGAGTATCTGCTGGAAATGCTGTACATAAGCAGATGTCCAACTTTTGTGCCGACAAGTAAGTGGTCCTCTGTGAAAAAAAAGTTCAAAAATTAGACATGAAAAATGCTCTTAATGTTTAAAAAATGATATCTCAAAACTTATCTACAAGAACATCAGGGGCATGAACTTGATTTAATGGAATTAAATGGAAAAGACTGGCATGCTAGAGATTGAAATTAATAAATTCTGAAGAGAACAGAGTGGATCTATTCAAATTCGAGGTACAGACGGGTTATTAGATACGATGGAAACAGTTATGACTCACCGTAAGCAGCGATGCATTCTATGGGAACACTTAATTTTAACAGTTGTGAGCACTCGTAGGCTTCGTACATTTTGGACGATGAACTTATCTGATTTTTCAAAGTATATCATGATAAGAGCACATCGACGCTGTGATAATCGCCTCTTGGAATTGTGGCGAATGTTGATGTTGTCGTCTACTTCACTTCGACTGCAACATAACCTCACACATTCTGTTTGACAGCTGAACGTCTCAGCTTCCGGCTTTCGCCGTGCAGGTGGCAGCACGGCAGGGTGCGCTCATCATGGCGCCGGTGTTAGGGGGTAGTTTGTGTAAATATCGGGCAAAGCGGGTGAATTTCGACACACATAGGAGGAACTCGTCGACGAATGAGACTCGTGAGGGCGCCCCAGCGTCTGAGGAGCCACGGTTCACCGAGAGGGAAGTCCGCGGAACGCCGAAAGAAGAGGAGTAGCGCGATGGCCGGGGTGTGGGCGGTGTTCCCCCAGCCAGCCAGAGCAGCCAGAGCAGCCAGAGCCGAGGGCGCTGGCCTGCCCAGCCTGCCCCTGCCGCCCTTCGCCCTCCCCCCGGACTGTGGTGGGTAGCCAGAAAGCCTTCTTATTGCCCAGCCCTAGAGCCAGAGCCAGAGCCGTATCCAGCCCTGATTCACTATCGTTGTTGACCTGTCTGAAAGTTGGCAATTATTGCGCAAAGCATGCGTGCATGGTAAGGACAAACTACTTGCGCTTTGCGCTTTGAGCTTCAGCCGGTACTTGCCATTCAATTTACCAACTGTCAGTGCCCCATTGGAAAGCTTACCTAGACTTCTCCTGCGTGTCGATAGATTTTTAAAAGTTGGGACAGGCTCGCTTTTGCGATTTGTGCCTATGTATTCCCCGTTCTTTGTAAGTTACGTAGTGTAATGTTTTAGACTCCAACAACCAATGCTGCTCTCTAAAAACGGTTTGTCAGCCTTTAAAAATGAGAGGTATTTAGAATGTAGATGCTTGTCTCCAGACTGTTACTCCTATTGCTAACGTGATTGATAATTTGTTCCTCAGCTTTGCAGCTTTTGAAGAGGCCAAAGTCACAGTGAACCAGGCGTGTACTTCACCCAGCTTCCTTGTAATTTGTATTTGAATAAAAGAATTGTTGCAAAGCTTATTTTCCTCTTTTTTTGCCTGTATTATTTAGAGCATACAGATGTGTTCCTGAAAGAGCGAAATAATTCAACATCTTTACACAAACAAGGCAAAAAAAAAGTTGAAAAAAAAAAAAAGAACAAAAACACTGAAGACATTCTCCATGTTTTGCTCAACTTGACACACAGCTGCATGTTCAGAAGACATTTCCCATACATCATAGTAGCTTGTATTTGAACACCCAGAAATTGCCAACACCTTCCTGCGAGTAAAAAGGCTTTTGTTGAATCCTGTGCATCCTGTTAATTTCCGTCTCTTGTGGTGAAAACGTAAAAGTAATATTATTGCAACACCATGTACTGCCATGATTATTATGAGACCCTCACCAAGTTTGGTGTAATAATTCCAATAATGCATACAAGAATTTTTAGATACTTAGAATGTATAGCCTCATGACTATAGTAAGTAAATGCATAACCCGTCTGCCGTGTGTTGACATCGCTTCAGGACCCAGCCCTACCACCTGTCGGTACTTTGACCAAGAATCGCGGGATGTGAGTGCGTCCCTGACATGCAGACGATTCGGTCTTGTGCGTGGGTGGTGTAGCGAGGCCAGCAGGCCTGTCTGATGAGCGGCGGTTCGAACTTGCGAACTGACTAAAGTCCAGGCAAGCAGCAAGGGGCCGAGCCGAGCGCGCTGTGCTGGATCGACTCTATTTCACAAAGCTAGGCCGGATCGAGAGTCTTTCCAGGGAACCGCCGTGGCGTGGCGTGGCCCGCCGGACGCGACCGGCTGATCCGTGTGAACTGCGCGCTGAATTACTGCCGATCCTGGTTCCACAGTGGCGTGGCCACGGCGTGGCCAAACACGCCAGAAACTAGAGGGCGGCGCTCGGATAATATTTTTCCGCGCTGCCTCGGGAATGGGCCCGCCTGCAGGCCGGGTCGGGCCGGGGCAGGCCGAGGCCGCGTCCTGCGCGTCGCACTGGGACGACGGGGACGCTCCCGGGGGCTTTAGGCCAAGGGGGCGCCAAGAGGCTCGGGGGGCGGGCCACAATTTACAGTGCAGATGGCACGGAAGGTCCCAATGGCTCTATTGTCCGCGGCGCTGCGAAGGCCCAGGCCGAGGCCCGGGCCCACCACGCCCTTCTTGGAGGACCCGGGGAGTCGGACCGCGAAATGGGAGCCAGTGGGCATCGCGCCAGCCTCGGCGCCTCGGCGCCAGCACACTCATTCCATTCCGAAGAGTCGCTCTGTCTCTGTCGCACTCATGGGGCGGCCGGCAAGAGCGCGAGAGAGACAGAGCGACAAAGCGTCTCCTCGCAATCTGTTCTCGGCAGCCTGGTTCCGTGCAGCGTTTCGTCGCTCTGTCTCTCTCGCACCTATGTGAGACGCCTCATGAGTGCGAGAGAGACAGAGCGATGTCTGAGTCGCTCGGTTGCACGGGGCGCGGCCTGGCCCGCCAGATCGTCGAGGGTTGAAGGTGAGACGCGCTGGGGCCTGCTGGCCGTTGTCTGGCGAGCGCGCCTGCGGAGACCAGGGTAGGCTAGCCCGCCAGTCACCGCCGTCGTGCAGACCAGCCTATCCCTCGTTCCGCAGGCGCGCAGCGCGCAGCCTTGCTTCAGCCGCAGAGCCTGTGTGAAACTCTACAGGGCCAACACGTGTTCGAACCCCTCCCTGGGTTAGAAGAGAAGAGCTCTCTTAAACGCCTAATAACTCCCGCCGTGGATTTGCATACCAGGACTTAGACATAACAACGGAAGGGGTGGAGCAAAGTGGCCCGTGCGTCCACGCGCGCAGAGTTCAAGTGCAAGTTGGGGGTTCCAACTCGCAGCCTTGGGTTGCCACCGACGCCGCATTCTTTGCGTCATCGACCTTGGAAGTCGGCTCGCGCCCTCGGGAGGGGTACTATTTCGTTTCTGACAGGGTGGTGGCAACACAGTGGCGTGATCCGAAGGACTAACGTGATCCGTGCCAGGGGGTTTCCCGGCCTGTGCCGCGCCGTGCGGCGCACAGTGGGCCAGAAGGCCGGTAGAGGCGGCCAAAGTTCTAGACGCGTTTTGAGATCTAGAGTCGCTAATGGGACTCGAATGGAACGTGTGACCCCACCAATGGATTGCTCTCCGACTGAGGAATCCATTGGTGGGGGTCTCGTTCGATTCTAGTCCCATTTAGTGACTCTGGATTCCAAAACGCGTCCAGAGTTTTGGCCGCCTCCACCGATCTTCTGGCCCACTGTGCAGCGCTCCATCCGTCCGTTTGATGACGGGGATTACCGCTGGACGCACACACACAGCAGCAGCACGGCCTGCAGCACAACAGGGGCATCCCGCACGGACGCCACGCGCTGCCAACAAGCGCGCGAAAAAGCAGAGGGGAGCGAGAGCGCGTCCACACAAAAGAAACCCATTCCCTGGTGGTCCAACCTCGAAAAACATAACGCGCGCGGAAATCTCTCTGCGAGGGGGAGGGGGAAGGGGGCGGGCAATGTGTTTCGGAGCACTTCCTGCCACACGTCCCGTCGTCCCGTCCCACAGTCCCACGCCCGCAGATGAATTTCACCGCCGGCAGTCCGCGGCGTGTCTGCCAGCGTCTGCCGGCAACGGCGCCCCGCCCGAGCAGCCAGCGGCAGCCAGCCCGCGGAGTCCGCAGGCGGCAGGCGGAGCAGGCAGGCCCCCGCGAGGGTGGCCGCGCTGCCTGGGTGCCGCGCCCCTGCCGAACAAAGCCGGCAAGCGGGGCGAAGCAGGAGGGGGGGCTGTTTAACTTGTCTCCGATGCCGCAGCACGCTCGGAGCATTCCGCATATTTTATCACTCTGCCGAGATGAGTTTCGGGCGACTAAAATGGGTGCCGAAGGGTTGCGGCGGCGAGGGGACGGGCGGGAGCACGCGCGGGGCGCGGGGCGCAGGGCCTGCTGCGAGGGAGGCCCGGCCAGCCCGGCCAGCGCGGCCCCGAAAGGGCCTAGGAATGAAGGGCTGAGGGGTGGCCGCCCCACAGGGCACGGCAGGCAGGGCCAGCAGGGCCAGCAGGGCCGGCCCACGCCCTTGCGGTCCTCCGGGCCCCGCCGCCCCGCCCGGCCGGCCCGCGTGCCGCCATGGTGCCGCGCTGCGTGCTGCGTGCCCTATCTGGCCGGTATCTCTGATGCACTGCTGGATTATTTAGGCGCCCGTCCCTCGGCCCATTCCAGTGTCACGCCCGCGCAGCGCCGCACGCGCCGTCTCCGACGACGCCGTGGGGGAGGGGAGGACGACGCCGTGCCGCGGCGCGCTCCAGGCGGCAGCTGGCTCGGGCACACAGTGCGACACACACCTGCCGGCGAATCTGTCGATAGCAGTGACGGAGATGTCACAGCGGGTCTGTCTGTCTCCCTCTCGGTGCCGGCGGCGCGTGGCGGGTCTTGTCGCCGACGACAGTTCGTGGAAATGGCCATGGCCGGCATTCCGGCATGGCCAATTTTAAAACGGACAGTGGACCGCCCTTTGTCCGCGTTCTAGTTGAAGTGGGCGTCAGCTCCCTGCCACACATGTCGCCGCGCTTCCATTTGGGTTGCCCCCTCCGGATCCATGCCTCGCCGCTGTTGCCCGGCCACATCTCTCCCTCCCGCGGCTTGCTTTTACCGGGATGAAACTCTCGCAGGCTTGTTCTCGCCGCCGCCCATATTCGCGGCTCGGCGCGGCGCGTCGTCTCGCCATGCGGAGCGGCAGGCGCGGCAGGCGCGGCCACGCCGCCGCCACGCCGCCAGCACAAAAGGAAAGTTTCAATTGGATTCGGGCTGGGCCTCGGCCTGCCCCTGCCGGCCTGCAGGCTGGAGACACGGCGTTATCCGAAACCGCCGCCGCGCCGCCGCGCCGCCGCCAGGAACGCTAATCGAAAACACCACCATCGCCGACCGCGCCGCCACCGCCCGTCATCGACGTCGACGTCATCGGGCTGCTCGGCGGGGCGTCAGTGACGCCAGTCGCCCTGACGCGTCACGTAACACTCTTTTCGGAGCATCTTTCACTCTGCCCGCACACGTGTGCTGCCACGTTTCTAGCGCCCCACCCTAACGGCGTAACGTGATATGTGCACGGCCCCACGGAGGGCCCCAATACACGCTGCGGGAGCGACGCGCGAGAATGGAGCCCCCCATAGAGCCCCCCGCCCCTTTCTAATCTGCCGCTGGCCCGTAATGAACGCGTTAGTGACGTTGAGACTGCTGATTACTATCTGTCGCGGACAGAGCCTGCCGCGCAGCCTCGCCCTGGGCTGGGCCGGCCGGGCCGCGCACCCCTGCGGAACGGCCCATGAGTGCGAGTGAGACAGAGCGACGAAGGCACTGTTCGGGACGCGCCTGCCGGCGGCGCCCTCGC